CTTCTTCGGAACTACCCAAATAGGCGAGCTCCAAGCGGATTCTGAGGGACGGATTATACCCTGATCTAGCATTTTGCCTATCTGGTCCCTAACTTCATCTCTATGTACATACGGATATCGATAACTTTTCGTATATACGGGAATTTCGTCTTGGGTTCGAATACGATGTTTAATTTTATTCGTGAATGTTAATTTTTCTCCATCTATGTAGAATACGTCCGCATATTTACTACATAACAATTCTAGATTCGCGCGTTCTTCGGCGTTTAAATGATCGGTTCGAAGTCGTGATAGAACTTCGGTCGCTCGCGGAGTATGCTGGACAGAACGTGAACACTCTACGTTATAAGATTCTGCTTGAACGGGTCGATCTAACGAAAATATTAAATCATGCTGTGATGGATTAAAAACTTCTAAAAATCCGCGGTTATTACAAACAGTAGTTAAGCATTGATTAATGACACAATTAGAAATACTTTGCTCATTTATAAAAGCATCACCGTCCTGCAAATTAATAGGAATTTTAATAATTTTTGAAGAATTAGCCGGTATTATATCTTCGTACCAATTAACGTTTCGCGAGTTATACATGTTAATAGGGTTATTTGAATTACGTGTTATAAGTACTTTATTTTTTAAATCTATTTTTGCCTCCCAATTTTCTAATAAGTCAAGTCCAATAAGCCCATCGAAATATTCATGAAATTTATAGATGTACAATTTAATATTTTCAGGTTCATTAAATTCTGAAAAGCAAGGAATATTAATAGAATAATTATTTCTGGATGTAGCGTGCACATTGGTAACTTCAAATGGATCAAAATTTAATGGAAAATTAGAATAAAAATGTTCAATAGCGTCTGGACAAATAAAAGATTGATTAGCGCCTGTGTCAATTAATAATTTCAAAGGCGGATCCAAAATTTGAATATATGGGAGTTGCCTTTGTGACTGTAAATTTAATTCTATTTTGACTTGTCTGATTTCATGCGCTTCTGAAAATCCTGCTCTTCTACGGAACTAGTAGATGGCTGAGGTTCATCAGAGTAGCCTGAAGGGCACTCATTTAATGGTTCGCAACTCTGTTCTACACAATAAGATTCCGGATAGTAAAAATCATTTCCTGCGTAATAGTAATCATATGCATCACAATTATAATATTCAGGATAATAATAATTTTCATAACTATCACACTCATTCATATTCATTTCTTTAGTTTTAAAATAATTTGAGGCTGGAATATTTCCATGCTTACGCCAATCATGACCCGTCAACTGCGTGGTCAGAGGCCTCTCTCTAGTGACGTAGTGACTAACGCCACTCATAGGCTTAGGGCCTTGATTTTGAGGAACATTTCTAGGCACACTAAAGAAATTATTTTGATGAGGGTTATAGTTAGGTGGTGGGGCACGGAACATTTGCTGCGTGCGTGATGGCATGTTCATCGATCTAAATGGGGCTGGCTGCTGGAAATTCGGCTTCCACTGCTGTTGGGGCGGCTGCCATATTGGCATTGAAGGGGGTCGTGCAACAGGATTGAATGGTTTGAACGCGGGGAAATTATTAGGAGCCAATTGAACACTTTGAATTTTCTTTTCTGATACTGAATCGTTACGATTTTGAAGGTACATTACGTTCAATTCCTCTTGCACAAACTCCAAAGCTTTTTCAGCACTATCAGGACGCATGCATCTAATGCGAGAGCCTAGAGGCTCTTTCAAACCGCGCACAAATGCCTGCATCGTTAATTTTTTATATAAAACACGTTTAGCTTCTACAGTCGTATCGACTGACTCGTGTAAGGTGACATAAGTCATAATGGTGCTGAATAAGTTAACACATTTATCATAGAACTCCTGAGGCGAACTATTCCCTTGCGTGGCTAACATAAGATCGTTATACAAAGCCGTCTCATCCCTTTGATCTGAGAAATTATTAATCAGTGCGTTTTTAATGCAATCCCAATTTTCGGATATGCCGTTCGAATTAATAATACGCGCGGCTGGCCCAGTAATTTTATTTAATATGCCATTAATAAGACAGAGCTTTGCTAGTTCGTTGCCAGGATTAGCGGTAATATATTCCGCAACAATTTGGTCGCACAAATGAATGAATCTTGGTAATACGTGCGGGTTACCATCAAAATCTGGCACCAGGCGTAAGGCCTTAAAAATTGTGTCTACGTCAGTCATCTCGATTGATTGGTAAGCTACCGAATCTACCGAGGAATCTAAAGTACTATTTAACTCTACACTAATATTTCTATGACTATCCAATTCGAGCCTACGAGCTAATTTTGCACGCGCAGGCCCTCTAGGGGTAGTTTGCCTAGGATGAAAAATTTTGCAAAGTAAAAATTACACTTAAAGGGAAAGGAAAGCAACACACAAGAAAAATTTGAGTGTACTTACATGAACTGCATTCTGGTTCCTCTGGGATCAATGTTCGGATTTATCCTCCGATCCGGGACACCCGGTTCTTTTAGATACCCTACGCTTACGGTGGTGAAAGTGACTATCGATATTAGAAAATCTAACCACCGAAGCTTTTTGAGTATCCTACCGACTGCGCCAATTATGGATGTCGCCGCCGGAGGACCCAAAAAAAACCAAAATTAATTCAAAGTAATTTAATTAAAATAAAACTTATGTAATTACAATTTAAATTTACTACTAAAGAAACTAGTCTAGTTCCTATCGATGCTAGATATGGAATGACCGAGACACAGTAATAATGTTTAAAAGAAGTAATTGTGAAATGTGGAAGATTCCCATTAAAACGCAGTGTCGGATGGCGCCGGCCTCCTTTGAGTTCGTCGCTACCTCTTTCCGTCAACGTTGCATTCTTGCCTCGTGTGAACGATGTTGCAATAGTACACGGGGCAGCTGCTTACTTGCGATTTGCTAAGGGTGCGTCCATATAACATATTTGTCATTATCGATTCCTACATTTTGTATTTTGCCCAAACAATTATCTCGACAACACAACACGGCTCAGAAACAAATTTTATACTCGGCAATTTTTTTTAAAGCACCCAACTGTATATTGATATTGGGGAAAGATTTTCAATAAGACAGGTTAATTAGATAAATATTTAATACGTTAAATAATAACAATAAAACAACAAGATTATTTAAGTACGTACAATGATATGGGACGGAATGTTGTTATATCACATTCTAGTGTCACGGCTTACACCAACTAAGCTACTCAAAAAAAATCAATATATGCATAAATAATATGTGAACTTTTGCTCTCTTTTTTCAACTGCGAAAGTACAAGAAAACAGTACAATTGTAGTACAAATATATGATTAGGTTGTCAGAGAGTGAAATTAAATTAATAAATTAAATATAGACCAGATGACAAGCAATAAACGCGCCTTTACTATACATTAATTTTATTCAAATTGTACGTCGTACAGTGCTCTCCAAACGTGTTGGCTGGCTTGAAGTAAGCGCGGATGGTTGCGCAGAACGCAAAGGCAGGTATTAGTTGCGACAAAGAGGGTGCGCGTGTACGGGGGGGACTTGACTTTTTGCTTAAAATTAACAGTACCATGCGCAAGATGGCGATCACGCTAACTTCAGCCCGCCCAAAAAGTTTGGAAAGAACTTACACAATAATGTTTACGCGCGTTCAACGCTCGCCGAACGCTTGATCTGCACGTAGCCTTACGACAATTCTACATTTCTCTGTATACTCATAATCACCAAAAATATTTTTTTTAGGTTTTCCAAAAATTATGGCCTTTTGGTTTAAGAACATAAGTTTTTTTTCTTATATTATAAGGTTGATAACTGTAAATGAAACTTAATAATGGTTCATTAATTGTGGATAGATGATATAATATTATTTGTAAAATATTGTAAAATAATTATAAAAAACAAATACTGAAAAGCTCCTTTTATGACTGTTTAGCCGATCCTTAATTGGAATGATTATGTCATAGTTAATATATTCTTCAGTGAAGATATGGATGCTAGTAATTGTTTTTTTTTAAGGAAAGCAATGTGCAAAGTAAAGCATATAAACGATAATGTTTAGCAAAGTTACTTATTTCATAATGTTATATGAGACCCAAAATAATGTCCAAAAGGCTTGCAATATTACTATTACAAACCAACATGAGCTAATTGAGATATTTATAATATAATTTTGGACATTATAATATTAAGGAAATAACCCAACCTTCATTTCTGTAAATAGTCCATTATAAACATTAGTATGCAACTATAAAAAATATTTTGTGCACATTTGATATGTACTTCAGTATTACTTTTCTATAGTTTTAATTATAAAAATAGCTTTTCCTTAAAATTCTTAACTGCGTGAATCACAAACTCAAAAGATCTATAAAATATGAAATGTATACAGTATGTACCATTTCCTAAAGTAAACTAGTATATATTAAGCTAAGATTAATTGGGTATATAACAAAAATGGCCACTAACAGAGGACTGTATAATTCAACAAACTATGATCAGTCCATGTAAAGATGTTATACATTAGTCAAATAAAAATGGTATATATTGTTTTCTTACATAAATAACATATTATGCTTAAGTATATTTCTCGTAGGTACCTTATTACAGACTATAGTTTATCCTTCATCAAATCATATATTAAATAATTTTTATTATTTGGGACACGTGTGGTAGGACGGGTGATCACTCCATGTTATCAGTTGACCATTTCACCCATTTCCCCATATTGAATAATTACATACATGTGTAAATGACAAATCTTGAGCATTCAAAATGCATAAACAATATTGATTTTAATCTCCACCTACAAATACAAACTTTATATGGGACGGAATCGTTAATATTATCACTTTAGTCAATACTAAATATGAATACTTTGATTAGGTAAAGTAAAGTACTTAACTAGCCCTGCAGGAGGTTTCGTTTTCAAATGCTCTTCTATATATTGACAAGGGCAGACATACTTCTCTCCGTGTCGGCCTGCCACAATGCGACTGAGATTCATTTTCTTTCTTAACACATAAGCACCCCATCTGCCCACGTACCGTAAATACAGAAGAGCACCTCTCTCCTGCAAAAGAATATTACCATTACTTACGTTGCGTTTACGATTTACCGAATTAAGTTTAAAAATCGAGACTTGCCAAAGGATCAAAACGGTTCGGTCAATCCAGACCGCGCCGCCTGAGCCAGTCGTTGCATATTACGCAACAGGCTCGCGTGTCTTTAGGTTCTTTGTTGCGTAAAATTTCTTCAACATATTGACAAGGGCAGAGCGCATGCGACAAATGTCGTGGCGCTGCTGGATTTCCACCTTCTTCATCTAGGGTCCAATCGAGCCTTCGTCTCAAGAAGTCCTTTCCCCAGCGTTGAAGATAACGAAGGTACACTTGCTCGCCCATGTCCTGCACATTGTATACACCTCACTTACCTATCAAATCACCTATCAAATGTCACTTTCACCACTTATTAGTAAGTTTAATGAGTTTGTTAACATGCAATTTTAAATGTACTACATTACACCCAAGATGCCTTTATATTAAGCTAAATAAACCAAAAAAAATTGTTGCAAGGGAATCTAAGGATAGATGAATATTAGTTGTGCAGACTAGATGATTTAAAATTAATAATAAATATACTAATTTACAGATAACTCAGCCAATTTAACCCACAGTTAGAGTTCAATGGTTACCCAAATGACACCAATACTTTAAAACCTATTAAGTTTTGTTAATCACCTGTTTTCTAGACAATCTCGTTGTTTGGCTCCCTCGAATGACAATGTCATTTGCTTGAACATCCAACTTCTTCTCCCATCCTTGCATAATAGTTTTTCCCTCTTCACTTTCGATAAATTGTTGTATGTGTGCAATACACGGTGCAGAATCAAAGTACAGGAAGCATAAATGTACTTTGTGGCAAGACAACTTGCCTCGATCATCAAGTGCTAGAAGAAGCTTATGCTTTACCAGTAGTTTATTCACACTGGCTAAACACTGCTCCAGTCCCTTTTGTAATCTCAATTTTATCCACATACATACAAAAATGGCCAAGGCATTTAAAATTAACCACACAACACCAAGAGTGAACAGTGTTAACCCTGTTAATCCAGAGAATAACAAGGAGAGAAGCACCACAAATGCCAATGTTATCCAGCACACAAGAACTCGTTTGTAGCAGATGTTATATAGAGTAAATCGAGCATCATTCACTAGCAGCTCCATGGCGTGGACATATTCTTCTACGGTTAACTGAAAGGAGTTAGAAAATCTTAGAAAGATGTATGTAACAACATTAAAGACTAAATGGGTAGAATGGTCAACAAATGATGTGGACTGATTACGCCAGCCTACTATCAGCAAATGCAGCTTACATACATTGATTTTTCTAAAAGCTATACACTGTAACAAGATTGACTAACCGTTAAGCCTTGAGCCATTAATTCTTCAGGAACCAATTCTGGTCTAAATTGGGCAGCAGTAATCCAAGGTAGCTTGGTATTAACAGGCAATAATGTCACAATTATATCACCATTTGCTGAAATTTATAGTATGTTTAGTAATATTACAATTGTTTATTGTTATTTAAATTAATGCCATACGTAATATATAAAACTTACTAAATCCTGAACGCATATTAATTTCGACATTTTTCATTACAGATGATTGGGAGTCATGTTTGTCATTGCGTTCTAAATTTACATGAATAGATTCAGTTGTTAACACAGCAGGTAATTGAATGTTTACTGATGTTCCAGGTTCGACAGTATCCTGAGTAACTGGAGCTTCTGTATTATTAGAAGACCCATGTTCTGGTGCAATGTTATCATCATCAAATTTTACCCATTCAGTCCGCTTAGTCTCCTTATTTATACCTCCGTTGGCCTCTGAAGAGTTGGGTTTTATTTCTTCAGAAGAATTCATTTTAAACGTTGTGTTGTGTCATTTAAATTAAAAACTTCTTCGTATCGTAAAATTTAAATTAACACTTATATCATGACCATACAGTTTATCATTTTCGCTAAAACGGTTCAGAGTATAAAAATAATAGATGTAATATAAAACTCGAATATATTAAAAGAATTATAAAAATAATGTCGTAAAATATAACACTTTACAATTAGTGTAAACTTTTAATTTTGTCACTTTAAAATATTAAACAGAATATTGGAATTATGTGTCATAGGACTTAAGTAATTATTAGTGATGGCAATAATTCTTTTTATCACGTGATTACACAGATAACATCGTGGCAGTGAAAATTCAGAGAGAAGCAATCGTTACTTTCACCTGTGGCTAATATAGCGGGAATATTTAAATAACTTTAATATATAATAATTATATATTATCTTTATTATACTATAAATAAAAAGAGCACGTTTTAATGCGAGGGTATAGTTTATAGTGTGTGGATGGATGTTTGTTACTCTTACACGCAAAAACTACTGATTGGATTTCAATTAAATTTTCCAATAATATAGCTTATACGTCAGAATAACGCATAGGCTACAATTTATAAAGAGAGTGTGTGATCTGTCTAAAATATGACATTAAGTGTCAAGTAAAAGTTACACGTAATTATGTAATGCTAGACATAATTACGTGTAACTTTTACTATAATAAATATGATAAATATGAGACATTATTTAGTTTAAATGCGCGATACTACGTAATCCTAACCCTGCGTAGACGAAGTCGCGGGCACTAGCTAGTTATTTTATAATGTTCTATAAATATTTAGGTGTTAAAAATATACAAAAAATCCAGTCGAAGAATCTAATATAGTACTTATCTTAAGAGTGTATGCTTATAAGTATTTGTATTTGCACAGGAGAACATAAATAGCCACAAACGTGATTTTAAGATGGTATGCTTTTTCCGCCACTGAGGCGTAACATACACGGTTCTCAAAGGATTACAAATAGCTGCAAAGGTTTCACGAGGCTTTCTTTCACGTGGAAACTGTAATATTCTTATTGGATGTAGATTTTATGAACTTATCAACTGGCCTTCAATGTGTTCGAAATATTTGTGGAAAATAACATCTAACGATAAAGTGATATTTTACGGCCGTCTTTCAGCATATCATTGTTTTTCGGGCTGTTCGGTGGACGTGACGAGAAGAGGTTCTCGACGTTTTGCCCTTACGTGCAGACGGCATCACCAGGAGATGTGAACTCCTCGATTAGGTGAACACGGCTGCTGCAAAGCATTCAAAACGTCGGGCCGTAGTTAAAAATAATAATCAAACAAGTTTAACTAAAATATATCGCGTTTTAAACAGTTAAGGTGTTCTCTTTAAATGTGTACTCGAGTAAACTACAGACATTATCTAATAATATTTTACGTACAAATAAACAAACACACATAAAAAGTATGTAAACTTTTGCGACAACCTGCAATAGTAGGTAAGTTAAATCGTTAAAGCCTTTTCAGCGTTTTCGTAATATTATGACGAAAACGTAAAATCTTTCTATTTACCTAGTTTAAAATGTTTTGTAATCCTTCGACTCAGCATACTTGAAAACACCTATTCAACCTTTTTACCTATTCAATTAAATTGTTGAAAAAGCATACTTTCGTTTATTGGTGACTTTGATAATACTAGAAACCTACACGGCCCGTGAATCGCGTCTACGCTACTTATACAAAATGCCGCTTGACCGGTTTTTGTCCATACTCACACACGAACGGCAACCTATAGCCAGTTTGTCCGCAAAATCACTCCCACAAGTCACAGATCACAAGCGATCGTTCTAAAAGATTCTAGGACAAGTATAAACAGACGTCAGTTTATTTATTTAAATGTGGCATTAAAAACATAAAATAATCGTATACATAATAGAGGTGATATAATTAATGGTTTGAAATAAAGTAACTCAATAACATGGAATCTTTGCCGAAACAGTTTGTCTCCGCCATGCGAACCTTATTTGATATAATGGACGACAAGAAGACAGGGTATGTTAAATTAACAGACATCGAAAACCGTTGGCGAGATGATCGCACCAAGGGGCTTCCGCATGGGGTAATCGAGAGCCTTCAAAAAGTCGCATCCCATGACGGTTTCTTAACATTTGAAAACTTCTGTACTGGTCTTAAAATTTGCCTACTACGAAATCAAGTTCATAGCAAAACCCATCAAGTTAACATTGAAGAACCGGATGATACGAGCGTTATTCCTCAGGCGACTTCGCAAAATAATCGTCCGCCATCAGCGCCCATTCTGGACTTGAACCATCCTCTCGGTAGGGACAGAAATTGGAATTCAATCAAAAAACCGACGTCTGAAACTCAACATCGTACACATAGCATGCCTCACTTAGCAGAAACCAAAAGCCTTCAGGACAAATCAGCCCAAGGAGTACCGTTAATATCAAATCATGATTTATTACATCGGGCCTTCGGACCACCGAAGCCTCCTCGGCTGGATAAAAATATAGGAATTGAAAATCCGGACACGAACAGAATATCGTCTGAAACTGAAAACATTAGTGAAGGGAAACTAGATATTACCGAAATGTCTAGAACGGTGGACAGTCAAGGCCGTGGATTAGGAGACGGACGGTCTTCCGTTTCCGGTTCACAGTCGTATCTCAATAGAAGTACCGTGCGACGTAGAGAACCTCGACGACACACCCTGCACAACGGGATCGACTATAATCTTATAAAGAAAATGAAGCAAATTGAACAAGAAAAGGATATTTTGCTTCAGGGGTTAACGGCTGTCGAAGAAGCTCGCGAGTGGTATTTGAGGCAGTTAACGGAAGTACAAGATAAGATACGATACGCAGGACGAATGGGCGCCTACGTGGTACTTAAGAATCTATTAAATTCTTTAAGTTATATAATTCTTCAGTCGGAAATATTATATATTGACATCTGACCGTAACGTAAATTAGTTCTCTGTCTAATTATTTCCATCATTGTTTACTTTTTTTCGGGTATGTATATGTAGATTATTTATGAATTGTAGGAACCGTGGAACGAAGCGCACCAAGAGCGTTTGGAACTGCTACGCGCTCGAATATTGGAACTGAATAGGCAGTTGGGAGCCCTGGCTTCAGCAACAGGCTGGCGCCATTGGCCTTTATCGCTACACATGAATCTAGCTCTACCTGCCACGATATTTAATTCCAATGCTACTGCCAATAACGCTACAGTTTTAAGATCACAAAATCGGATGCTGGCCGAGGTACCGTAGAAAAACGTTTTAATTTAAGAGTTTTTTTTTTTAACATTAACATACATACTTATACTAACGTTATTTAATGGGTAAATTTTAAGCTTAGTGTCCGGGCTTCGAATCCCGGTGAAACATAATATAGCATGATCGAGCAGAACACAGATGCCTTTGTTATTTTTGTTTGGAAATAAATTTATCAGTGAAACAGCCACAATGTATCTATGTATGCCAGAGTAACAATAAAAGATGCCAAAACTGGAAATTTGTATAGCAAACTAAAACATGCTATGGTTTAGAAAATTAAAATGCTTGTACATAAACTAAATGTAAAGCCATAAAATTAGAGATGTTACTATAAAACTATACCACTACTATAGCAGTCTTGTGAAAAAATACAAAGTAGACATTGCTGAAAACATACATAAGTAACACATAATATTTAATTCTATTTGATATTTAATTCTGTATTTTGTTTTAGGAGGTAAACAGAAAAAATGAAAGGATATCAGTTCTGGAAAGGGAGAAATCAGCACTAATCAGAGAATTGTTACTCCAAAGAAATAGGACAAAAATGCTAGATAATTTTAGTTAAGAGAAATCAATGTCTAAGAAACGTTAATACATATTTATATATGAATAAAAATTGTTTTTAAATCTATGTATTATTGCTAATGGAATAAGTTGATACATTTATATATATTATAAAATTAAACAGAAGAAATATTTATATATTATAATTAAAAACTAAGATATTAAACAAAAATCTACATAAACAATTTTGGTTCACTGTGCAGAGGTATAATAGAGAGAATAATCATATTCCCTAAATGGAACATCATAGGTAAGGTAACCTTGGTCCCAGGCTTGTTCAACGGCAACCAGTAATTTTTTCTGTTTTCTCTGGCAGAGTCCTGTTTTAAAGGCATCCAAGATCTGTAATAATACTAGGAATGTTATTTTAATTGTTTGCTAATATATCTAGATTACCTAAGAGTTAAATGTATAAAATAAATTAATTTCAGACCATAAACTGGTTGAATTTGTATGATATAAAATAAAACAAAATATATTATTCATAGGAGTGCCTTATAACTAAAACTGGGCAGTTTGAGATCCCAGTCCTAAATCTATCTATCTAGATATACCGATTCTTAATCTTTCTTCGTAATAAGAACTAGCACAAAACACTTACCTGACCAGTATACTCTGAAATAAATTGTTCCAATAATTTCGTATTTCTAGGATCCAATACCAAGTATTCGTCTCTGCAAATAGGGCATGGATTTCCAGTGGAAATTACTCCACTTCGTATGCATGACAGTCTCGTTTTTCTTGGGGCAAAACCACCTTTGTGATTTCTGCGATAGTAGAACCAAACAGGCTTATCACCATAGGTTTGATTAAAAGCCTTGCTTTCTAAATATCTTATGCTTGTTTCGACGGGAATACTTTTTGTCCTATCCTTAGTAGGATCAACTGGCTTTTCTTCCTCTTCATTGTTATCATTGGCTTCATCTGAATATAATCGAACACCTACGCGTGTGTCCGATAGTACTATTCTATTAATTAGCGACCGTAAGTTTCTTGATATGGACATAATAATAAGCTTCAGTTTTTATTGAATGTGTTAGAATAATAAGTTATCGGGTAACGTTATAAAATATTTTGATTAGTTAACCTCTTAAAAAATCTTTTCAAAACCATAGTATATTTATAAAGAACAGTCTCTACCTTTTTAAATTCCATAGATTATAGTATCAGTAGTTCGAAGGTCTTGGGCTTATGTATGCTGGGTCTGTATCTGTGCCGCTTTGTGTTACAAGAGTATGACTATTCTGTAGTATTAATAGCTAGTGGATTACTATTCTGTAAACGCGTTTTAAAATTTGAACGTTGGCTTTAAAAATTTTATTTTAGAATCAATTTATTGTGTTCTTACGCTGTCAGGTAAATATTTAAAATATATATTGGAATTATTGCATTTCATATGTATAATCTAATTAGTATAATTTATTTATATGAACTCTTGATTCTTATCTTCATACTGCTACTTTATTACTAATTTCTTTCATTATGTACAAGAGTACTCCTATAAAACAGGTGCAATATTGAGTACACTTTTCTTTTGGCATAATATTTTGGAACATCTTTTAGGTAAAACGGCTGCTATTACACTGCTTCAAAATGGCAGACGTACTAGGAGAAGCAGGTGGAACTCAATGGTATAGTATATGTCTATAATACTTGATGCATGATGATTGATGCTATCTATCTACATCAAAGATAGTTAGACTCATGAAAAATTATTTTTTAATGGATCATAATCATCTTATTATTATCTTATCTTATCATAATCTTTTAAAGCTTACCTATAAAGTTCATTAGTACAAGTTGCAATGGGTTATTTTTATGGGTTCCTCTGTGAGTCTAATTTACATGATCTGGTACTTAGTTAGTTAAAACTTGTTTATATCCTAAATCGTGTTAAAAATAATTTCTTAACTTTTTTCTTTGTGTGTATGTAATCTTACTTGCCCAATAACTACTAGAACCTGTGCTGCCTGTGTGTCACCAGGCGTTGTAAAGCACTCTAAAATCGCGATGGCAAGAAATGTTTTATTTCAACAAGCAGAAATTGTTTATTTCTTTGCTATATAATAAATTATAAAAACAAAGGTGTTTTTACATTTAGGGTCTCTAGGTATGAAATATTCTTTTTGTTGTTTTTTTCTCTGCTTTAGATATAGAATAGCATCAGTAACATTCAAAGATTATTTCGTTGTTTTATTACCTTGAACATCAATATTAAAATATTTTTTTAGGACGCTCATATACGAAAAACAATTTCGACTACTTTCGCTCCATAGTATTATTAGTATTTTTTCCGAGTTTGTTACGCAAAAAGTATTTTACATTTATATTATTAATGTACACATATCATAAGATTTTCTCTAATAAAACCGTATCATTATTTGGAAAAGAGGGTAACTGTAAATATGGTATGCGAGGGGGAAATAACTTATTACGCTCCTATGTTATTAGTAGACGTAATTATATTATTGTTTGTAAAGCGCAGCATGAAACGACTGACGCATCTTATCGTATCTATTTTTGTGTACCGTCACATGTATTATATTGCAATTACCAGCATCCCGCTTCACGGACTTCGTTTGCGTCTTAAACAGACGTATCCCGTTATATCCGTCTCTTTCATATACATTATAAGCTCTTATCCCGTGATCCCTTTCTCGACACCCGTTGATGTGCGAGTGCCCCCGAATCTCGAAAAATAGATTCCCCTCTGTCCTAAATACAGTATTTTTGATTTTTGTCCTTATAAACAACGAATTCTAGAATCTCCACAGTGTTAAATAAGTGTTTGTGGTTATTTCTCTGCAAATGTATAATAAAAAAGGGCTGTATTTTGTGTGTTTATAAGAAGTTATTGTTTATAAATTGTCAATGTGACCTATTAATACATTCAAGTGCGATTATTTTCTATTATGAATGTATTGTAATCCATAATAATGGCTACATTACCTCGGGTAAACAATTCTAAGCATGGGAATACTTCAAAGAATGTCTCATCTCCTTTTAGGTATGCAATACATAATAAAAAATTAACAAAAATATTAAATACCTATCAGCCTCTACGCTTATATGATATGATACAATTTCCATACTTTTATCTTAAAGTAATATAAATCAAAAGTGTTACAACAAGTAAATACCTATGTCAATAATAAAATTTCCTGTGGTATATAAAGAATTTAACTATAAATAGGTAGATGAAAAAAAAATTATCTTTTAAAATATCTTTGTAAATTTATACAAAACATAAACGAAGGTTCTTCGTTTTAAAGTTAGCGAAGATTCAGTTAAGTTCATAGAAACACAAATTTAACGACAATAGAAACAATACTCTATACTATAAATAGTAGTATAGAGCTATTAAATATATATTATTTTTATTAAAATATATTTATGGTTTTTCAGTTCCAGTCCACGAAAATTACCCGAGATGACACCCTATACAGAAATACACGGTGAGTATTGTGCATATAATAAAAAACCTCCAATTATTCTATGTCAAATTAATACCCATAATTATTTTATTTAAAGACATAACAGCAGTCAGTGGTGTCAGTATGAAGCAGTATGAAGAGCAGTTAAATGCTTTCCGAAAAGAAAATTTCCATCTTAAATTGCGTGTTTATTTCCTGGAAGAAAATTTGGGTAATGGATGTCCGCCAGCTGTCCAAGTAAGTATGACCAATATTTTTCAATCAAGCCTCTTTTTTGGTTTACTTTGCCAGATGTTTTCAATTGCAGAATTTTCATTGGACTTAAGAAACATTTTAATATTCCAACTTTATTAAATAGTCAGTAATCATTAATTTAAAATAGTGTTGGTTTTAAAGATTTTGAATATACCTGCAGCATTCTTCTTTATAGAATTCTTATACTGAGTACATAATATGATAAAATATTTTCAATTCTAAGAGCTCTTAGATAAAAGTGTATTAAGGTACTGTGACAAAGACTTTTACATATTAAATATCTTACAGGGTCTTTTAGAACACAACGTGAGGCTGCAAGTCGAAGTAGAAGAACTGAAAAGACAATTGTGTGATAAACAAGAACTATTGGCGGCTGCCGCTGAAGTTATTGATGTTTTGGAGAATCAGGTAAAGAATTTTTGTTATTATTGGATTTATTCTATCATCTATTTCATGGATTATAATGTCACACTTATGTTACAGGGTTCAACTGAAAATGCAGAAGCTTCTATTAATAACAACAGCAGTATTCAAAAAGACACAAATGAGACACGGGTAAAAATCCTATTAACTTTTTAAGTCAATATTACTATTCTAGTCCTTATAGATTTTATGAAATTAAATATTTTCAGACTATTGAGAATAAGAGCCACAAGGAAACTGACACTTATATAGAATCGGAATCGGCTGGGTATGTCTTACTTTTCAACTCGTTCACATGTTTCCTAAGTAATAAATTCTTTTACTACAATAGATAATCTAAACTTAGTTATTGAACTTTACAGGGAATACTTAGCTGTAACAATCAACAATGACGATTTAGTAAGTACATTCTAAAGCCTGTTATTTTATTACTTTAAGAGTATTAATATAGGAAGAAATACTATTTTTTTCTTTTAGGATCAACAAGCAAGATTGAAAAAGGAGAATCGCAAGGCTTTGCAAATGATCAAGGAATGCATGAAGAAAATTCAGCAGCAGGACAAGGAAATTAAAAGGCTGAAATTGGTACTGTATTTATTCCAGATTAATATATATTAATTGTATTCAGAGTTTGCATTTAAAAACTTAACTTTTCTAGGATAAGGAGCTAACATATGCTCATGTAAGTGATGCACAACTTGAGAAATATGAAGAGATAATTAAATGTAAAGACAAACATATCAGTGATTTGGAAAATAAATTACGACAATTGCAAAGCAGTAGTGTTTCTGGGCAGGGTAACTCAGGGTAAGTCAAGACTTCATGTTTGATTAGCCTCTTATGGTTGTTTCATGGTTGTTTGTAGAAATGTAATTTAAAATTGATTTTCAGCAATTTAGAACGAGTACTAACAAAGAGGTTACAAGAAATGGCGCTATTCCTGGATAAACTTTTGTCTCACAAGTATGTAATTAAATATAACTGCGTAAGATAGTTTATTTATATAAAAAACGATATTTACGAGTTTTTTTTTATGCTTTTTAGGTGTGTTCTCGGAGATGAAAAGAAAAAGCTTGTAGAAAGTATTATGGAACAAAGCTTAGCTCTCCCTGTTGGATTAAAACTTGATGAATCAGTGACCCCAGAAGACTTAGCAATGGATGAAACTAACTTTGATATATCGCAATCTCTACGACTAGAAGATTTAACGCTCATGTTTGGACATCATTTAAATTGTAGCGACGACAGTATTGCATGTCGTTCTAGAAAACTTCAACAACCATTTCCACAGGCAGATGCCGTTTCTGAATCTGAATGCTGGTCGGAACCCGATAGAAACGTGTCTCTGGCTAGAGTCGGACTATCCCAAACCGGTGCTTTTGATAAGGAATCAGTTTCAGAGAACAACAGATATAGTAGATCTAGAAGGTCGCGTATTTCTTTCGGATCACGAGCGGAGGAGGGTAGGAACAATAATCAAAGCATAATGGAGCAGGTGAATGATTTAACAAAATATAGTCAAGAACTAGAAGAAGAAAACAGGGAACTCAGGAAAAAAATTGATTTAACATTGCAACAAATTCAAGATGTTGAAAATGAAAGAGACGACTATAAAAGTGCCCTCGACACGGAACGCTCTAATTTAATGGAAGCAAATAGTAAACTGGAATCTATAAAACAAACTGTTCTTATATTAGAAGCGCGTATTAACGAAAATGAGAAATACATTCAGTCTAATAACCACTTGATTGAAAAATTGCGTTCAGAGAAAGAGGAGTTAGAGACCACATTCTTAGAGAGTGAACGCTCATTGCGCCGAGCTGCAGATGAAGCGACTCTCCAAGCATCGCAAGCCGCACTTGAACGAGCGCGAGCGCATCATGAAAAGTTACGCATTGAAAGAGAACTGGAGGAAACTAGGGACAAGCTATCAGCTGCTCTTGAAGCTCATTCACAGCTAGAAATGGAACTAACACGTAGGATACCCTTAGAAGCCGACAACAAAGTTGTAGAATACTATGAAGGTGGCATTTCAGAAGAAGATCGACCAACTTCACCGGACCAAGGAATAGACAGTGATAGACTCTCAAGTTTAGAGCATGACCCCCATAATCTATCACCACGTAAGTGTAAAATTTTCCATATTTTTTTACATAAAGAAAGATGAATTTATAATTATTTCAGTTATTATATTTTATCTGTATTATATATCAGTGTTATATTTTACATAATTATTTAATTTAAATTCTAACAATTGATTAGATGTAAAAGGATTTTCCATTTTTTCTTTGAAAATCGTAACTGTCACAAATGTTTAATTTTTTTAGGTAAATTATACAAGGAAAACATAACATTGAAACAGAAACTTGCAAGGACCAAAGCGACATTAGCCGAGGCATTGACACAACTGCATTCTGGAAACATGCTTAAACAGAATGCTCAACGCGCTATTTGCCTGCAAATACACAAAGCGCAAGGGGTCCTTCGTCTAGCCCGAGACGAACTTGAAAAAAATAAAAATTGATATTTTACTTCCTTACAAAGCTGATAGGACTTTTAAGTTTATGAGTTAAAATATTTAATATGTAACTTGACTTAGTATAGGATTTGTTGTTCATTTTAACCAAGACACCGCCATTATTTAAGTATATGTCCTTAGCTTTTTTTAATTATGAAGGTTAAAACAGGATGCTGTTGTATATTGTACCGAATCCAGTTGACAACTTATAAGATATTCATTATTTAGTTTAGTTTTATTATGGCCATTCATTTGTATCTGATTGTTATTATTGTAAGTAGTTTTTCTAATTTTAATAATAAACATTACAAAATAAATTGTGTTTGTTTTTATTTATTAAAACGGGTCTATTTACTAAGGGAAATAATTTTTCAATAGTAGAACGAATTGAACCTGCAAAATATATCAATTTGCACTAATGTCAAAGAATCTTGTGCAGCTAAGATCGGCTATGAAATATAGCATAGGTAATTAGGTAAATATAAAAAATAATTTCAAAGAAAAGCTACAGATTGAAAATCGACAGCGCTGTTTCTTAAACTACAGATAAAACTTAGATTTTGTCCGGACATTTTTAAAAAATAATTTGTCTATAAAATTATTACATATGTGCAATAATTATTATAATCTGTCTAATAAAATTAAAATTGGCGCCAATTGAAATTTTGAAGCAGACTTGATGTTCATATATTATATTGCCACAAGGTTTTTACTCTTCAGGATTACGAATGTCTCTTCCGCAAATTTGTGATAAAATGACAAAGAATTACGTGTACAGTATAATAAAACCTGATTATTCTAGTTTGGGATACGTGATAGCTACAGCGAATGTAGATGATAAACATGACCGATCAGCACCCTCCGATTTTCATTGGAAAATTCTGAAATGCAGGTTGTTATATAACACATTTTCTTATACTAATAATAATATATAACAAATACATAAAAATAACAGTTAATGTAAAATTTAAGGATGGTAATATTTTCACATCCGTCCATATTAGCAAGTCCTGATAAAAGCGACGTGAAGAAAGTTCATATCATATTTTCACGTCGTGGCGATGACTTCGATTGCATTAATTCATTATTTTTAAAATTTTCTCTTGTACAAGTAAGTAAATATAAAGTACTACATTTTTTCCGTAGCATCAGTCTATTTTATGTAGGGATGTATGTTTAATTTATTGTTCCGAAATTTTAGGAGGGACTAATACGAAATGTAGACAACGACACATATAAGATGTGTTTCTTTTACACAATGGCGGCAAAACTCGCACCGGCCTGGAACCTTTTGAGTTGCAGTTATTTTGTTAATAAGAGAGATTTTCTTACTAGAATTGGACCACAGGAAGGCGTTCAGTGCTTTTGCTCTGTAAATAGTAAGTTTTAACATCATTCGAGCCGACCTACCTCGGTAAAAGCCATACTTTTAGATACGAGTAAAGAAACCCACGCTTAAACCAAACGAAGTTGAAAAATTACATGTTTGTAATTTGTTGTTACAAACAAAATTACTTTATTGTCACCACAATGTTACAAAATAAAAATTAATTTAAAAATCCAAAATGTAACGAGAAAAGGCGGCCTTATCTATAAAAAAGGGTCCGAGTTTTACAATAAACACTACAGCTATAAAAAGTTTATACTTTTAAAGTAAATAAAAAAATTTTCAATTTCAATTCGATTTTTATGTTATATAGTGCCATCATGTTAAAAATATTAAAGTTGTAAACTTCTAAAAATCTAATTTAAACTTGACAAACCAATTTATCTTGAACACTAATTTCATTAAAAGAAATTGTTTCTTCCAATAAAGTAACGATTTTATAATCTGGCCTTACTAAGAGTTCTTTATTTTCTTTCTCTGTCATGTTACTACACGTAACATATTTGATTATTTTTTTTTAGATGATACAATAATGTTGGAGTTAAAACCGGTCAAAATAAACCTGTTAAGATCTGATAATAAATTTTATCCCGGTGAATGTATTAGAGTACTACCAAGGTAAAATGTGTCTTAAATTGTGATTTTTTTCTATATATTGTTTAAACTTTTTCATAATGAAGTTTTGTTAATAGTTTGAATAAAGCAAACATTGAAGAATTTTACGAATCTCTGCCTAAAATGGGAGATTTTAAAAACTTTAAAGATATGCGTCGACACTGGAAGAATATCGTAAGTATTTATCCTGCATAATATATCTATACTAATATATAAAATTCTCTCGATTATGGTTTTTGTTCCGGTATCTATGAGAATCGGCCAACATCTATTTTTCTATGCTAGATGCTAGGGGTAGTCCACCCCTTTTTTTAAGACAAAATTTTTAATTTCTATACAACATACAAAAATACACACAATTCTCAATTTTCTACGATCAACCCTTATTTTTTAATAGCCATTTTAGTAAAATTATTTATATGGGAAAACAACGTTTGCCGGGTCAGCTAGTATCTTATAACTTTTAATGTTATTTTTACTATAAGACTTCGATACTTTAACACCTTTAAATAAAACACTTTAACGGTTTAAAACGCGATATATTAGTGGCCGTGGTCCGGCTCCGCCACGGCTGCTGCAAAGCATCCGAAACGTCGGGCCGAAGTTAAAAATCATTTTTAAATAAGTTTAACTAATATATCGCGTTTTAAACCGTTAAAGTGATTTATTTAAAGGTAAACCGCGTAAACTAGACAGTACTTACTTTAACACCTTCCTTATACATATACTTTTCTTGTTCTCGTAGCACGGTTACCGTTTACCCGAAGAAGAACGTCCATACTATGCAGTTCGATTCTGGCGCGGTGAACCACTTACTTACCCAGATATATGTCTGACAAGAACATTTCCTATCATCACACCTGTGCCTAAAGCTTCAGAAGTAAGTACCACGTTACTTAGCCGTTAATTAAGCGAACTGCTATGTTGTTTTTTTTTTTTGAAAAAAGTATGCTACGAGCGGATCATGAAACAACGACCACAGCGTACCTACCGTGGAGTTGCTTCACCAATTGAGCAAGGCATTTTTGCTGCAACCAAATTTTATCAGAAACGACATAGAAATGGGCCGGTATGGTATTAAAACCAAACCGGCCCCTTTTAAAATTACCAATTACCAAAAAATTAAAATTACCAAAAAATCTTTCTGTCCCTAAATAATATTATCTTTCTTGATTCAGGAATGTATACTCAAAAACTTCATAAACTGTTTAAAAACGAAAATGCCTCTTATTCTTGGACTTCCAATTGATATTAATGAAACAGAAAGTCAAGTAAGTTATATAAAAACGTATCAACCTTTTTTTACTTAGTCCAAAAATTGCTTGCTGTCTATGGTTTCACAATTATATTTTTAAATTGTTGCATTAACTTTCAGATGATTCACAAAAATGTTAAAGACACTCAAGCAATAAGTTTGTGCACACCAACACAAAATTAAAATCCAACGACTACTTAAATATGACAATACTGATTAATTACAAATAACACAATTAAACGATATCTGTCAAGAATATTGTTTTATTGCATACTGTGTCTCTTACTTACAGCACTTATATCAAATTATGTCTTAATATTATCAACGAAATGGCTAAAACGAATCTGTTTTCAACAAATATTAATAATCTGTCACGTTTATATAGAAAAATACGGAATTTATTATAACTCATTTTACATAGGTCGCTAAAATTATTTTAACAGGACAAAATCCTTGTCAACGTGTATTAAAGATGTGATAATAAATAGAAAATGCTTTACAAACGTGTGAGTTTTTAAAATCATCAGTTTAATAATAATATTTTAGTGTCATAATGTTTTATTCTAGAATCTCAAATGTATTGTAAAGCATCTATTTAACGTAGAATATAAATTATCTAGTCGTTGGTGAAAACAGAGACCCCAAGGGAGAACGAGGCGGTGTCATCGATGTCTGTGCTGCTATGTTAAAGAAATTTGCAACCGAAGGTGACAGATTGCGGTGATGCGGTACAGGCGATCTTCGTATATTCTGGAAATTAACTGAATATATTGGACAGGGGGGCTAGGACTTAATAAGCAATATTATTATCAACTACCTATATTCTGAATTGGGTTTATGTCTGTCTTGCCAGGACTCAACTTTTTAGTATAGGCGAAAAAACAATTTACTTGCAATAATAAAAACAACGTTAAAAAGGCGAGCTTAACTTTTACTTAATCAACATTTAATTACGACCCGCCGTTACTTGCCGTTTACGGCCATGATAAAAGATGAATAGGTACAAAACAGCATTTACCGCTCTATGTTGTCTTGAGTTTCTTGGTGATAGAGACGAAGCTGACGATGTCACGTTAATTTGAAGTGAATTGTTTTGTACACCGGTGTTTACGAGATATTGCAGTTTATATCCTTTTGCAAGGTCTTCTACCGTCTTTCCTGCGGGAGAACACACATTCAAATTTGTCCACACAGAAATAAAACGTAAAAGAAACTAATGTTTTAAAAAAGAGGTGTTATAATTAAGATTAATGACATTTATAAGATTTAACATTAACATTTGTTTCCTCAGCTCATTAATGACAACTTAAATACTGACCAGTTAATGATGTGGGTATGTTTGTGTTACAGCGGCCTGTTTCAAGTATTTTCTTCAAGGCATCTATATTACCAAAAATTATTGCGACTGCAGCGCCATCGGCTAATTGTGAAGAGTCACAACAAGATAGTAGAAAGCTCCAACAGTCGATGTCCCAATGTTGGGCTGAATAAACTGCCAATTGTAAAGTTGAAGCCCCTTAAACGTATACAACACGTAAAAATAAGTAGTCCAAGTGGCCAATTATTTCTTATAACGAATAGCAATATTATTTCATCTTACCAGAATCACTTTTGAGATGTGGATTTGCACCATATCGTAAAAATAACTTGACTAAACCGCAACAACCTTGGCGCGCTGCTAATCGTATTGGCCATCCGCCCTCATAATTTGGATCTAAGCTGTTACTTAATAAGTCTTTTACTTCTCTTTCGTTATTACTTAGAATACTTTTTCTTAATTTATCTCTACTTCTTTCCATAATTATCACTGCACAATATCTTCACGTTGATTGTCAAAGCGGCAACGACAGATAAGGACCGAGATCGTTATTGTTTTTTATCCCTACCCTCCTAACGTTTTATCATACCAATAGATAATCACATGATATATAAGCTACCTTCATATATTTTATATTTCAGCAATGATTTCTCCGTTAAGCAATATAATATAAAGATTAGAACAAGAGCAGTATTGTAAGATGTAGATATTAATTACAGTTTAATGTAGAAAATTCAGACTAAATTTTAGTACTGATTTTATTAATACAGTTTATTAACAAATGTAACTAAAAGTAATAGATAAAGTTGAAAAAAATAGTTTGATGTGAATATGAAGGAATAGAAACTCATTGTAGCCCTTTTTATCAAGGATGGCTTTTTGACAGTTATGTTGCCTAGGCAAAGAATGAGTATAATCTATGGCAATGAACGTATGAGAGTTTATTATGTCATTGCTTTAGTAAACAACTAAACAATAGATTTGCAAAATTTAGATAAACAAAGTTTAATTTTGTTTACTATGTTTGATGTTAAAGTTATGCAACATATCTGTAATGGGAAAGTGAGTAGCAGAGTTTTTCAATGGATGTATCTTTATAAATATCAAATGCCTATTTTTTTGCAGACATAAGCAATGGAGAAGAATAGCAAAGCGGGAGAGAAGAAGAAGAATTCGCACACTAAAAGCCAGGGAACAAGGTAAATTACTTTTACACATGAAATGTGTGAATACACCTTTTTTGTTCTAATTTGTATTTAAAACTCTCAGACCCTCTACCTTCACCTTCATCTGCTGAATATTTAGTATGGCTCAGAGAACAAGAAATCCTAGAAAAATATGAATTTGAACAAATAGATAAAACTAACAAAGAAGAAAATGAAAAATGGATCCAGGCGGAAATTATAACTGTAGAAAAGTTAAGGAAAATTGCAGCAGACAAAGAGAAGCAACACCAAATAGAATTAGAAAATAAGTTAAAATTACAACAAGTAAGATCCATTCTGCACTATTCTTAGTACCTGTATAATTAATAGATTCACTAATTTTGTAAAAACTACAAAGTTCTTTACAATTGTTTAATGCAAGTTACCTAAGGAAGTATAAGATTGTTTTACTGTCTGATTTATGTTTACTTAATTTTTTGTGTACATTTTCTTTGAAAACAACATCTTGGTATTTCTTATTCTATTTAATACCAGCTTCATGTGGCAAAGAAATGGTTGCAACAAGCAACCATTCTATGACTATTTCAACCAAAATTGATTAAATTGTGTCTAACAATTTAAACATATACGGTCACTGTCATTTTTATAGATATTTAATGAAGAAACCATTATTGCAGTGCATGCAACCAAAATCCTGATAGATATTTTTTTCTGTTTTTCACATTACACACAGCTTGATATTTTATGTGTAGTGAATATTGTGTTGTAGCTGGTTTTTATTTTACCTACTTTTATTTTCCAGGAATGGGAATTAGAAAAACAAAGAAAAATAAAAGAAGAGGAAAGATTAAAAGAAATTGAAGAGCAAAATAGACTAAAGCAAGAAAAGTTTTTGATAAGTTTGGAAAAGTTTTTATCTGGCGACTTATCAGAACCCCCACAAGAACTCTTACTCTATCATGAGTCTAGACCAAATGCTGAGTTATGTCCCTTCTTTATCAAAACAGCCTGTTGCAGGTTTGGTGATCAGTGTTCAAGGAATCATCAATATCCAGGAATTAGTAAAGTAAGTGATAAAAATCCTGTTTGTCTTTTTTTGTATTTCTACTTTTTTATCACAGAACACAGACCAAATATAATATATTGGAATTCTTTTTTGTCAGATACCTCAAAGATTTTTCCTCAAATTTTCTTAATTTAACAGGGAGCTGCATGTGTTTAATGCACACAAAGATAAATTATTTAGTTGCCAACTAAAGATTAAATTAAGTCTTGTTTATACTTTTGTTCATTTTTTTTTGTGCAATAAAGTGTAAATAAATAAAGTATGTATATAAATAAATTATTAATATATTGTGTTAAATATTTAATGATATCCATATATTTCAGGTACTATTGGCAAAAAACTTTTACCTCCATTTTGGTTTGGAAAATGCAAATTTTAATGAGTATGATACAGATGTTATGTTAGAGTATGAAGATGGTGACACTTATAAGCATTACAAAGAATTTTTCTATGATGTCCTTCCTGAATTCCAAAAACATGGTCTAGTTGTAGAATTTAAGGTAATTTTTTTTACTGTCATCTGCTTACACAGAAATATCAATTTTTTGGTTGTTGTACATTATTTTCAGGATTTATACATTGTAGTCTGCTATCACACACAAAAGGAGGAGCTAAGATGCAGTATCCTTTAAATTATTAATTATATATTAATGTTTGTAGTTCTTACATCATACTTAAAAAATATTTTATAGACAAATTTTGTTGTGTTTTCTTAACAAGAAAATCTCAGGTACGGCTGAACATTAAACATTTGTAAGGTTTGTACATCTATTATAATTAAAGAATATATTTACACATTTTGTTTAGGCCACAATGTATACAATATATTCTCGTTACTCAATTTAATTATTTTATAGGTTTGTAATAATTACGAAAACCATCTTCGCGGCAACACCTACGTTGAGTTTGCAGACTTGCGCTCCGCAGTAAAAGCTTATCGCTCGCTGCATGCGCGCTGGTACGGCGGCCGACAGTTGTCGCTAGAATTTTGTCAAATTTCATCCTGGAAAACTGCAATATGTGGTATTTAAAAGTTTAATCTTTTCTACTACACGATTAACGCTTGATGCAAATCTTGTATTTCTTTAATATAATTTTATAATTTAAAAAAATATATTCAAGCACTACATTGATACTCTGCTTCTATTGGTCGTCAAATATAAATAATCTCTTTTCATTCATTCATCGTCAAAGGATTTAAATGCTAGGTTAAAATTATGTCGGCTTTATAATAAAGAAGTTTATTTTTTTAAATTATAACAGGTCTTCAGTCGAGAAAACGGTGTCCTAAGGGGCGTGCATGCAACTTCTTACATGTTTTTAAAAATCCTGAAAGGATAATAAGACATCACTATAAACAATCTCACAGGTAAAGTACTAAATACTTTAATCAGAATAGGTTGAAAAAATTTATGATAGCCTTGGGTCTCGAACTCAGCCCCGTTCTGTACCGATTTTTTTTTTGTTTGTGGCGATTATTTTCTTTATCCGTTTCTGCTTGCCCCCTGGGTCTTGTGTACATAATATAGTTTTGACTTTAACTTAAAAATATAAGAAATTGCGTATGTAATGCGATTCAAAAATTGATTCCCATTTCTTTTAGGAGACGAAGATCGTCTGAGCGCTCATGGCGGTGGTCAGAATCTCCAGAAAGAGAAACACCCAACAGAACAATATCAACTTCAAGGGATAGAAGAGATAGACATTCAAAGAGACGTCGTCATCGTTCTGATAAATAAATCTTGTTTTTGGAATTAAGATAAATAAATAATTTTTGCAATTTGTAAATGATTATTATACTTTTTCAACAAATCCCTGCCTCCTTTCTGGTTTCAAGTCTGTGGCTTTTTCCCTACGCTTCCGAGTTTTATGTTAATATACTGCATTTATATTAACCCCTTTATATACATTAAACTATACCTTGTAGATTTTGCTATAGCTGCTAAAAATTGTAATTGCTGTGCTATCTTCTTTAAACAAGCTCAATATTCTGACAACATATGTTGACAATTCGAGTCGATAAACTCCTTTTACCAGCGTATACTTGTTACGAATAGTTTATCATCTGTCAACTCTCTGACGACAGCAATACCTGTACAACATTAACGTCATCTGTCTAGAAGAATATTCAATATACAGTGCTTAAGAAATTGTGCAATTATTGTACCTACATTTTAATTAATTAAAGATAGTAAATATTTTGCCCTTAGGTTGAAATACAATATACATAAAACATAGCAAAATGCTAACGTCTCCTGTGTCATTTCTTTTCTTACAACGTCCTGTTATTTATTTCTCTATAAGAGTAGTGTTTGGTATTAAATTCAATCAAAGTAGTAATAAATCTTGCAGCTGTAAATTATATTATTCCAAAAAATTACCTCTGTATAGTGATTTTAATAAACAAAAAAATCAACACAATAAAGGTAACATTTGTTTAATAATATGTCTATTTGTAAATTTTACTGTGTATGTTTTATGTACATTTAGCTGTGATTTATTTTTATAGATGGAATGAATAAAATGAAAATAGTGTCACTACTTAAGTTTGAGCGTGACAGCCATGCCACACCTTTTTACCAATTACCGGCATCAAAGTTACTACATATATATAGGACAACTAAAAATGATCAGGAAAATGGTTATTGCACAAATAGATTGTATTACATTGCATCTCAAATTAAGGTAAACTTTTTGGCCACTAGGAACATTTTTAGAATTATGAGATTGCATGTTACTGCCTAAATTAAGGATATTGAAAAATAAAATATTATTTTTATTTGCAGTGTCCACCATCAATGTTAAGTGAACGCCTTGCTAAAAGAACTTTTGTTTATGATTTATCATTTGATTGGCTAGAAAAATCCCTGAAAGTTTTATTAGGTAAGAGGTAAGTTTTCAGACAAGTAAGCTTGAAACATTTGGCAAATGAGAACTGCTATGATTTAGGACTGTAGTGGCCAGGTTTTAAAGCAATGCTACCAGGCTGAACTATATGTTTAGTAATTAGGACTTGATATTATTATTGGAAATCAATATTTCAGACAAAGGTATATCACCTGATCGAGTTTTACGAGATTTATGGGTGCTTAAGTATCATCATAAGACTATAGACGAAAGACTGCAGGCAATAAAAGATTTAGGTATTGAACCTTTATACCCTTGGATGGTGCGATGCTCAAAGGATATCCTTAAGAGGTATTATTGAAAATGAAATTAATATTCTGTATTACTGAACACTTTAAATCTAAATAGAAGGGTTAATTTACTTTTAGGTACATAGAGATATATCAAGAAACAAAAACTATATTAGGTGATAATAAATCTAACAAAATGTATTTAGCTAAACGCTTAAATACTAACTTAAAAGTGGTAGAAGAAATGAATGCTAAAGTATGTCTAGAACGTATGAGTGTAAGCAAGGTACGAGTAATCATGATTGTTCAGTCATGTGTCAGGAAATCAATAGTTGTAAATAACAGCTTTTTTCTTATTTTTATCTTTTTGTATCTGTTCACAGATGAAAAACTTCCTTGACTTTTTAATTTCTGAAGGAATTTCATTGGAAGAAATTATAAATAAACCAAGGATTCTAAACGCATCCCAAATAACTGTGAAAAGAAGACTTGAGGCATTGAGAAACCTAGGGCTGAAAGAAATAAATCTTAACATACTTTGTCGAAGTAAAAAAGACTTCAAAAAATACTATGAGTGTATGCAATCGGCATGTAAGGACAAAAAATAAAAAAGATGTTTTGTATCTCATCTTTATTTTCGTACACTCCCTATATTGTAAGGAAAAATTATTAATTGCATAAACATTATAATTTTAAAGATACCTTTCATACATCCTGTTGTTAAAATACCAACAAATCTATTTCAAAAGTAGGTCCAGAATTAAAATAATAATAAGTGTCTTGCAATTTTATAATAATGAATAGCAATGCAGTGGAATGAATTATTAAGATGACACTAAAATTTTTATATGAAGTAATTACCACTTCAACCCTTCAGATTAGAACCTTCTTCATTCATATTAATTGAACTACAATAAGAAAACTAAATGGAAAAAGCTATACATGTAGGTAATTTTATGTATTGTATGGCCAATTTATTAGACTACATTTCATGTAACATTGACAATGTTACAAGAGAGAACTTTGATTTCTTTTTCTAGTCCAAATTCATATTTATACCACTAGCATTAAGATAAGGCAATTTACTTTGAAATGTGGTATATAACCTTGGCGTTTCTTTAGTGTCATGTATTATTACTACCTATGGTTATGATAATAATAGTAATGTGAGGTCTGACTTCTGAGTAAAAATCAGTTAATTCTCTAAATTAATCTATTGATGAGCACACTGTACACCGGGCCCAGAATGCATATGCTCTTCATCATCACTAGCATAGGCCTCTTCCCTGCCTCGGTTTCTCTCACTAGGTGTGTAATCCATCAGATTTACTTCTTCTACATCTTCACCTGTTGGCATAACAAACGCAGGGCGCGGTGGTAACAGAGCTTCAATCTGTTTAAGTTGCTCTTCAGTAGCAAAATTATTCTCAGGAAAATTGACTTCAAATTTCATATATAAATTTCCCTTTTCAAATGGGTTCTTATGCTGTGGCATACCCTCACCTTTTATACCTTTAATATCTCCTGGCTTGATAACTCCACCTGTATGTCTAACTAATAAGTCCCGTCCATCTAAATGCTCTACAACAGAAGTAAAACCACACAAAGCCTCTGTTACAGAAATTTGACATTTCATGTATAAATCATCACCAGTTCTCTGGAAAACATCATGTGGTTTTTCTTGTAAAACAATAATGACATCACCGGGCTCCATATCTGGAGCCTGGTCACCTTCCCCTCTGAAGAATATTTTTTGATCTTCACGCATTCCTTTTTCAACGTGAACTTCCAAAATTTTGGTTTCATTTAAAACTTTTTTGCCTTTACATTTAGGACACTTATCTTTATCATTTATAGTCTCTCCTTGACCTTGGCAAGTGGGGCAGCGGGTTTGAAATTGACGTGTCATATTAGGAGCTATTTGTTGGAAAGAAACTTTAAGGCCTTGTCCATGACAGTCTCTGCATGATACAACTGCTCCAGACTTGCCACCTATTCCCTTACAGTCTCCACATATCACATTTTTACTCAGCTGTAATTTAGCCGTTTTGCCTACATACATGTCCTCCAAGGACACTTTCAATGTATGGATTGTATCTTCACCGCGCGCGCGCCCGCGACTTCTTCCTCCACCCATGCCAAATATATCGCCAAAGAACTGGCGGAACAGATCGTCATGCGCAGCACCACCACCATGACCGCCCTCTTGAAGACCTTTTAACCCGTATCTGTCGTAAGTTTGACGTTTCTTTGAATCAGACAATACATCATAAGCATAGCTGATTTCTTTGAATCGGTCGCCAGCATTAGGATTAACGTCAGGATGAAATTCTTTTGCTAACTTGTGGTAATTCTGAAAGATCCCAATAAAATTAATGGCAAGGCATTTTATAATAATTACATATCATTATAATAATCGTATGACGTCCACATGTACTTAGTTCTAATCGATATAATACAAGACTCACTCGTTTAATTTCTGTATCACTTGCATTTCTTGAGACACTTAATATTTCATATAACTTATTATCAGCCATTTTTAAAGAATATCTAATTTATATAAATGAAGTAAAGAAGCTGATGAAATATGAAAGGAAAGAATAAAGCAATCTCAAATCTTCAAACTTAAATTCAGGGTGACCAGTCTTTAAATTTTAATTTGCAACAACAACACATCCATTTTCATGCACAACTTTTGTTGCATCCTTTAGCTTAGCTAATTCAAAGTATTACAAGGCAGTAACACTGTGACAAATACTGTGTCGACCTGGTTTAATAGGTGATGACGATAATTTTATATAAATTTATTATAAGGCGTATCATTCACTGTCTGAAATTTTATTAATAATCGGTAGAGTAGTCACACACAATAAATACAGGTTATAATTTAGAAGACAAAATACAGAGCAGTTAGTTCGTTGTTGCCACTATTAAATAAAAACAATATTATTATTATTATATATTTTAAGCACAGATAATTAAAAAGTAAAAACTAACTTCTATGTGTTACGTATACCATAACACAGAATACTTAGTTTATGTTTTAGAGCATACAGTAGTAGTAAAACTGTAATGTACAATTATTGAGAGTCATTTAACATTTTAGTACAGTTAGTTAAATTAAAATATTATATGATTATTTTTCAAATATTGGTATATTGATAACAGTCTCTATAATAAATGCACAATGGTAACTTATCTGTTTTTTTTTCTGATGTGATAAAGATATCTATAGTCTAATTACTAATAGGTATAATTTTTTTGTACATGTATGTAGGTATATGCAAATACACACATTAGCTTCCGGTATGTTTTTAACAAAAACTACCACTCACTTTCAACCCTAGCAGAAGAGCACTTATAATGAAGCTAATCCTATCTCCTAGCTATCTCCTAACACAGTTAGAAGGACATCGGCAAGTTTTCATCAATACCAATAAACGCTAAAACATTCAAAAAATATCCCGCTTTTAAATTAAAACAAATACGCAAAAATCTTCAATATCTTAACGTACAATCTCTCTAAAAAAAGTGACCAAACAATTTTGTAACCAGGATACCTGTAATTTTATCTATTAAAACAGAAATAGTTACAAACAAGTCCATGAAACAGTACAGAGATACACTCTCATCATAGTAAATATAAAAATATCTATGTTAGTGCAGTCGTTCGTTGCTTATTTACGCTTAAACATTTCGACCTACGATCCTCTACGTTACAAGTGAAACAAGGCGTGAAAACCAGGGAGCACGGCTTACATAAACTGGTACGCGGTTTATGTGTGGCCCTATTATGTAAATCGTGTTTATATCCGGCTACGACCTCTAGAAGGTCTCAGTAATCACTGGTACTCATTATGTATTGTAATTTGTAGTGGAGGGACGGGTCGAGCGGATCTTCTCTCATCATCATATTGGAAGTGAAAGTGAATGAATGTCGGAGGCTTAATTAGAGAGCACCGCAGCGCCAGCGCCAGTTGTTCTGTTACCGTCGCGTTAGACGCACTTGTATTGCGTACGACAAAAGTACGCACGTTTCACGAAGAGATCCATCAAATACAACACTAGAGGTACGATCGTGCAATCATTCGGGGATTCTAACTAGTGATGTCTCTAGTCGAATATCGATTTAAAATAATACATCTGAATTGTGTTTTTCTTTTAGATGTTATTTACTTTAATTATTTAAGAAGGCATAAAACAATATTATCATGATATATTATTTTAAATTGGTGTGGACGCTAATTTAATGAAATTCAACTGATCTTACATATTGATTGTGAATTAACATATTGTATACTGTTCTCAAAGAAGAAAAATAAAGAAGGCTCACAAAAAAGAGAATTTACGTAACAAAATTATATATTTCTTTTAAAACCGTCCAACATATATTTAGAATTCGGGAAAATCTTAAGCAATTTTTTCCTCAAGTTTCATTGTCAAATACATAATTTTATTCGATTCTTACGATACGAACTTTAAGCTCCGTGCAATTAAGTTTTCGGTAAATTTTAATGGCTTTAAGATTTACGCACGCTTTGCTTACCACGTTGTTAGAACAGGTGCACAGCGCGCTTTCCGTACCATAAAATGCGTACCAAATCGACGATTTCTCGCGTGGAGCACCTTTTCACTCAAGGAGGTCAGAGAGTCGGGTTTTGCTTTCACAAACAAACAACGAAATAAATTCATCTCACGTATCGATTGTCCTCGGGCGACGTTAACTGCATAAATAAAAGAAAGTGAACTCATTAAGCTTCAAAACGACTCGTTTACCACTTTCCATAGTCATAATTATCGCGGTATCTACCTATAGACGTTAAAAATATCGATGAAATTGGACAACACAACAGGGCATCATTTCACATAATTGTCTTATATGCAATGATGCTAGTACATCACTAGTAGGCACTTGTAGGCGACATAAAGAATAATTTGATATATCTTCTCCTGTTTGCAAAAAATATTTAAATAACTATGATATAAATAAAAAATTAATTATATCGATTTAAGGTTGAAAAATATTTCAGACACGGGCGCTACTTGAACCCTCATTCACATGGTTCCGTACTGTTGCTCTAACCAAGTTAGGTCCTGTCCTACGCGTCATCATTCAATTTATTCAACCTATTGATACCTGCACCTAATGCGCATCTATGCTAAATTAAAGAAACCTGTTGCAATAAACACTGATAGGCTTGGTAGTTTAAAAAATATATATTATTTAGACAATCGGGGAATAAATAGTCAAAAAACTACGTCGACGAATAACGAAGAATCTCCATATTTTAAAGCATTTAAAGCCAGGCGGGTTCGTGTAAACCTCCTCCTAAGGAATAAGCCTTAAGTACATCTCGTGTTAAATATTTTTTCAAAGTGTTCCCTACAGACATGAAACACACATTATCTGTGTAATTATATTTTATGCGAAATTATGTGCCAATCGACGTGGTGCCGTGTATTGTTCTATCAATCAGTTGAATCAAGATAGCGCAAAATAATAACGTATAATTTCCGAGTGTCTCAGACAACTAAATTCTTGTGTTTATAGCATACTAATATATTTTTTGTCAACAGATGAGCCGGCACACCTGCTTGGCTGCGGTCGCGCTGCTTTTTGTATTTTGTGTGGCCGAAGCTCAACGCCGCTTGGCCTTACCTGATCCACGCAGTTGCGCTAACAGTATGTACATTTATTATTTTAATTCGTTATAGCTTAGCAATATAAACAGCAATAACCGAAGACAGGAAGCCAGCTCTAGGTGCTTATAACTACCACGGTCAAAATAAGAAAAAAATCTAAATTATGTTTAAAAAATTATGCAAGCGAGATATGCACCTCCGGAAGTAAAATACTTGATAGCTTTCGGAACAATAGCTAGGATGTTGGTCTCTTTGGTACTATCTCGACTAAAAATCAATTCCTATAAATTGTATCTTGCAAGCTTCTAATATCGCATATAATCACATTTACACTTGCTTGTGCTCAGATAAAACGTCTAACATATAATAATTTGAATATCCATTCATTATGATTTTAGTGACGATAATTATAAAAACATCTTCAAATCCCAAATAGGTAATTGCGAAAAGCATTATTCGTATTGTTTATTGGCAAGAATAGCTAGCTTAAGCTATTTCGAATGTTCAAATGTGAGTAAATAGGTCTTACGTATGAGTACTCCATACCACTACAAAAAAACAGCGTCATTTAAAAAAAAAACCCCCTTTTCGCGACGCATATTTTATGGGTCTATCTTGCTCTTCACTAAAAGCCTTTTTGATAAACACATGTTCCCAATTGCCACAAAGCAACGAAGGTTTTCAATCTTTCGATCTTAATTGACCAACTCTGGTTTAACAACAAACTCGTGGCTATTACTGAATAGAGGTCATTACGTTTCAGCATCCTTTCAGTTAAGAGATGCGCAATGGTCACGAGCTTTGTGTTGCATAAGCCACACTTAGACTTGGTGACTGGTGGCTCACCTTGTAGGCTAATTGCTGTGCCTAATACGAGGTGATGGCACTAACGTCACTTTGTATGGATAGCAATAGTACATTCAAGTGTTATATAGGTCAAGAATGTTGGTAGACTGCTGACATAAAAGGGTTTATGAGTGTTGACGACTGTGAGACCTACGGTCTGTTTCACTGCTCATTTTACGCACAAGTAGATCAGATTACAGGGCCCAATCAAAACTACACGTTGGCCTGGAATTAGGGTATCTTAGGGTGGTGAGAGTCACAGACAAACGAAAAGATTGCTTAAATTAAAATTAATTTATTTTTACGTCAGAAAAATAACGGTAGAGATAATGTTCGTGAAAGATGAAATCAAAAACTAATTTTGAGCAATGTGTACTCTAGTGCACCAGAATTATTGTTTCTGTGTTATCTGGCAAGTAAATCCCATACTACTCGTTTGAGGATGAATCTCGATTTGGATGCAGGTTTTTAGACTAGGGAAATGGGAAGTAAATAGACAAAAACCGCATTAGCCATATTGCCAATAGAAGTTTAAAGTTAATGGCATTATGAGGGATATAAATTACGAATATATAGATATATAACTCGTATATCATTTGCAATTGTAAAATAACGTAAAGCCCGCATAGAAAGTACTATCAAGTTTTATATTAGGTAATAAACATTTACCATTATGTTAATTCATCATCTGTTCACCAAAGTGATAGAATATGTAATTATTGTCTATGGTTTGTATTTAGCAAAAGTTACGCAATAGTAAATGGATTCGAAACTAACGAGTTTCTCGAAACCACATAAAATATTTCCGTTAAAAATCTTAAGTTAACGTTGTTTCATTTATTCATAAATTTACATATAACGCAAATTTAACTGCCGCCACAGTTTAATGATTAAACGCGTACGAAGATCCGAACTGACGACCAGCGGCACAGATATAAAATTGTATCAACACATAGACAGTAGAAGTAATTATTTTATATTTGTTGCTCTAATAGAACGAATACAGCGACTTGCGTTCTTTTTATCTGCTCACCAACTGACATAGTTATAGAATGCATTGTATTTATTGCAAGTTTCCACAAGAGGATTTAAAAGTCTTTCGCAACATGATGTCAGCAATGGGTACTCAATACCGTTGTGGTTGAGGGCGTACCCTGACGACTTCATGTGGGAGCGTTCGGACAATTGGTTCATTTATTTACAATACTGACGTAATGTCATTGTTCAAATTAACGACAGTAAACTTTACAAATATCTAGAAATATTATGTGTGTCAGTAGATAAATTGTTGATTATGTTATGCTATTATTATAACTAGACATTGTTTTTGTCTTAGTACTTAAGTATAAAAATACAATATTACTGTTTTTGATTTAATTTTAAAATTTCATTTTATTTTGTTTTATTTGAAAATTTTTATTGTCTAGCTATTGCGTTTTTTGATATAAAGATGACAAATGGACAATCGTTTTCAATGGCGTCCCATTTTTACTCTTTGCGTATGGAACCCAAAAATAACGAAACTGTGACTTTTGTGCTTAAACTTATATCTAGTTAGAGAAAGCTAAGTAGCTTCAAAAAGTCATTTCAATTCAGAAATTAGCTAAATGAACCTATTTACTTGAATGTGTCACAAACAATTTTCCTAATAATACTAAAACCGCGAACGGCAATAACGATTACATTAATGACACACTTGACAATTACGTCAATAGCTTCTCATACATATAATTAAATCTTTCTTTTCGCATTCAACCTGTCACTATTACATAAAAGACAAATGTTTACAATCGCGTTTCCGGCACGAACTTACCCAAATATTTTATCGAAAGTTATTTGCAAAAAGACATAATCTATAGACGAAGCGAAGCACTCAGAAAGGTCACGGCGACTACTTTCTAGTTACGAAACGCGTCGTGTGACATGCCGTTGAAGTTAAATAAAGTTACGAATACCTAAAGTACACTGCACTCACCCACTTTCTTTATGAAGTTTTCCATTGTAGTCATTGTAGCTCAATAAAGATCAACTTCGTTGAAGATATCTGATTTTTGCACATATATTTTTAAACTACTAATAATATTAAAAAAACAACATAATCACATTCTAGTTTACGCGAGTAGTACACATTTAAATAAAACACGGTCTAAAACGCGATATATATTATTTAAATAATAATTTATATCGCATTTTAAACCCTTTATGTGTTTTATTTAAATATCTGTAAAAGTCTGAATTCCAAACCGTTTGTGTAAATACTAATAAAAACTTAATGTAATTTTAAGTGAAGATGAATAAGAAATAGATACAGTATAATATCAAAAAAAGCTGGGCAAAGCTTTTAACCTATTATATGTTAAAGTATTTTCCAACCAACCTGGTATTAATCTAAAATAAACCTTTTTTATAATACTTATGTATTTACGTAGAAGTGCAAACAATTTTCGTGTTATTATAATTTCTTTATTCTTTTTTAGGAGTTCGCCATTCGGTGTACAAAGATGGACGCGGTGTTCTACACTCATACTTCTTCAGTTGGGAACATGCGCCTACCCGCAATTTGGAAGTCGACTGGCTGGACGCAAGGAATATTTGTCGAAGACATTGTATGGACGCCGTTTCTTTGGAAACTCCACAGGTAATAAATATGTCTATAATAATATATATAGAAGTAAAAATAATGTATCCTTTTAAACAAATATTAATACAATAATTATTACTAGCTTATTTGAAATAAAAAAAGGTATACAAAAGCGCGAATTATGTGTTGTGCGTCATAATAACGAACCATATACTAAAACTAAGGGAATAGGTTCTTTACGGCGTATCAAAGATATCAACAAACACAGTCTTGTGTTATTCTAGGCTCTCGATAGTGAACCAAAAGCTCTCTGTGCAACTTCTTTAACATCTTTCGGAATGTTACCTCAAGCTGTTCTAGTGCTCTTACATAATACGAGAGGTCAATCATAGTCGTGATGTTCACTTTCTCAAATCACCAATATACCGATAATAACGGCGTAGAATTTGCCAATCGTAATTTGCTGTTACGAAACTAATAAACCCAGTAACGAACTGGTGGCATTCTTACTTATGGCGATACTTCGTTAGTTACCTAATTGTGCCAAATCTCAAAGATAAAAGTTTACCGTCACAGAGGGTATACATATTTTGAGTTCTCTATTATTATCTATAATTATTTAACTAGCTGTGTCAGCAACTGGTAAATTATCATCTTCATCTTTATAAATTTAATCTGTTACCCACGACGTCGGTCGCGTCCCATAGTTCTTGCAAGTTAATCTTAAAAGATAGATCGCGGATTTTTTTTAGATCATTTAAAAATAAATTATTCTTTTTTTTTCGAGTATTTATAATCCTTTCCGCAGTGCACGCAGCGAAATCCCGAATGGATTAATAGTTTGCCCCATTTTTCGGCATTTCTCACTATTTGTTCCCTCCTATTAGTCACATCCGTATGTTAGTAGCCTAACCAACATAAAATAATTTTTTCAACTCGAATCTGTATTTCCTGAGATTAGCAAAACAAAGTAACTCTTCAGCTTTATAATATTCGTATAGATACGTAAAATAATGGGGGACACCCAATGGTGTGTGTCCGTTATACTAATTTAAAAGCCTAGTTGGCAATTACATCACGCTTGTATCGACGTCTTCCCCACCCGAAACAATATTTTATTATCTCGGGATTAAAACCTAGAACCCTTATGTTTTGAGCTATAATCGTCTACGTGTTATGCATAACTTTAATCATGACTTCAATAGAATGTTACTCATTAGACATTTTTTTTTGCCAACATGAAGGTTTATTAATCATAGGTAAAGCTTTTCCTTTAATCTAATCCATTGTGATTCCTAATAATTATCATTGAGTACACAAGAAAGTGCATCAGCATAAGAAATTGCCTCCAAACATTTCCTTGTCGCGGTTAAGGTGGTGTCAACGCACGTAATCAAGCCATTGTTATGTACCTTCCTACAAGGAAGTCGAGGCTGAGAATTAGATTACGAGCTCCAGGGACCTTATTGAAATAAAAAGAATGTATAAAAGGCAATCATACTTGGAAGTCCATGTCGTTAGACTTCAAAGTCAATCAGTCAGTTCATTCTACTGAAAGACCTAGATGTCAAATGTAAATTATTTTGTATATAAATTACGGTACGAATCCACGTGGTGGGGGATAGATACGTTGCAGAATCAACGATAGATTTTATACTAATTGACCACCCTGCGGACCAAAACTTATTACTCTTCCTCCAGGACTCGAACATAGAACTTCCTGCGCCTTTAACTGCTGAGCTATGTAGGAGACCGTTCTCAGCTACCTATACGACGGCTATCGGTTCGATATTGAAGAGAGTTGTACCTAATTGTAAATGCAATTGTTAGATCGATCGCTTTTTAGAGCGTGGAAGCGTCCGTGAAAGGGGTGCAACGGCCGACTGCGTATACGAGAATACTGTGCGACGCACTCATAAGGCGCTCGCTCCGGACAAGTGGCACATGGCACACATACCTCTGTAGCCGTTTTACCCACTTAAACCGGAAACGTACGACGGAGGTGGACTTCCCTCTTAATCACTTCGCGATAACAGATTTCACATTCGTGTTCTACTATACCATCGCGTCATCGTGTTAATAACGAGATTCTAGACTACTAATGTCGGAACAACATATACATAAATAGTTTAGTGAATCAGACTCGTCCCGGCCCCATGCCCCACGTAGTAATGAATCTTACTAGAACAGTTTAATACGCGCTCTGGGCTGTTTACTGAGTAACTTAAGAAGAACAACAGATATAAAGTCCGTTAAAATGGATTTAGGGAGATAATAAACTTAAACATTTTTGTCTATACAACAAAATAACTCGAATGCAATAATTTTCTGCCTGTCTTTGTAACATATTTTCATGTTTCTCATGTGTCATAGCAATATTTACCCCACCCTGAGTTTAAATAGACAAAAATATTTACAACAAAACTTCAGGTTAACCAAATTACGATAGAAACAAATGACTTACAAGATTATATAAGTTTTAATACGATTTCTCTCTTAGGAAAACGAATTCATCAAGCAGAGAATAGCCCGAGCTAATGTACGTTACATTTGGACGTCCGGCCGTAAATGTAATTTCGCCGGCTGCGACCGCGCAGACCTGCAGCCACCAAATGTGAACGGCTGGTTCTGGTCCGGTTCCGGAGCTAAGATCGGACCTACGACTCAGAGGAACACCGGTGACTGGTCTTACACGGGCGGTTATGGGCAACAACAACCCGACAACAGAGAAGCTGCTCAAGTAAGTTTTTAATTTAAGTTATAACCTTTCTCAAATATGTTAATTTGCTTATATTCCCATTAACTATAGCACTAAGTAAAATTTCAATACTTAAGTATTGTTTTGCTCTTGTCTTGTAAGAATTACTGGGCTCGGTTGTGCGTGTATAACTACCACCATAAAATTATCGGTGATGATAACCAGAACCATCAACATAATGGGCTTTCTGAAACGCGGGTGCGATAACGGCTTCCTTTTTTCTAATTTTCTAGTGAAAATCCAAAATACCAAACTATCATTCTGCCAGACCAGAGACAGGTTAAAGCAACTAAGTATATAAAATAAAATGTTTCCAACCCTGAAAGATTTTAGTATACATAACTGTAGCAATGCGTGGCTAATTGTGTGGCGTAAAAAGCTGTAAAAGTGGCGTGGCAAATCAACGAGTCGTTCCCACCAATCGATTAAGTTTCTGAAAGTCTGAATATTAAATGACTAGGATATTCGAAGTTCCGTCCGGGTCTCGAACCACTGTTCACAGATAAAAAGCCGTCAATCGCGTTTCGGTTTCAGCCTATAAGATTTCCGAAAAACTAAAACGAAAATAGAACGACAGCGCATCTTATTTAGATGTTATATGCCGGGTATTTCATCTTCTATCAAGTGAACCTTGCTTGTCTGTCCTCCTCTATCATAACAAAGACAAAACGAAAAATATGAACTTATGTAGCTGTATATAAAGCACACTTAAAGACATTTTTTCAACAGGGAAACGACGAGTCCTGTCTGGCCATCCTAAACAACTTCTACAACGACGGTGTCAAATGGCACGACGTGGCTTGTCATCACGTCAAGCCCTTCGTGTGTGAAGACAGCGACGAACTGCTCAACTTCGTGCGATCGCGCAACCCCAGTCTTCGCCTATGAAAACTATGAACCTAAGACAACCTCGCTCGGTTGTTATTGTACAAAATTCGGTGGCTAACCTTATTTTTAAGTTATTTATTACGATAGCAGAATTACAAAGGCAGAACTGTAATACTTTGGTATTACGACTCAAAATTAAACCAGAAACTTTTATCCCAGAACAGAATTTAAATATTTATGCACATATAGGCTAACATAACTTATGTATACAGTAGAAATAAAACTTATTAAAGTATTAGTAGTTTTGTATCTTTGAACCAACTGTTTGTTTTTCTTTTACTAACCTAACCGCAATATGCAAATCTCTGAAACGGAACCGGCCAAGTGTGAGTCGGATTCTTTGAACCACCGTCTATAAATGAAAAAGCTGTGAAGTTTTATCGCGTTTCGGTTTTTTTTTGCAGATTTTTGAATCCAAGAAACAAAAATAGATCGACAGCGCTAGGATATTTTACTTTCCATCTAGTGGCATGCCTTTCCCGAGAATCGAACCAAGGTTCTCTTGTTTTAAAACCAGTTTAATAACATTATTGTATTAAACATGTTTGAAATTTCAAAGTCAATATATTGATACAAAACAATTTTATTTCAAGTCATGAAAGTTAACAATTACAAACGAATTGAAAAAAAATACGGACAAACAAATAAAAAAGAAAAGAAAACTTACATATCCAAAAGAGATGATAAGGAATAAACTACTTAACATAACAGAAAACATTATCTAGAAGGCCACTTACCATTAATTCATCACAAGTTATATTAATTTCATAGCTTTAAATTATTATAATTAAATGTAGCACAAACAACAGGTAATATAAAAAAGTCAGAAATAAGAAACATTTTCTAAGAAATAGCCATTTGGTAAAATAGTTTTGCCAATTGGCTTATCTTTATCTAGTTGTTATTATAACTTTGTCAATTTAGAAAAAACATTTACTTTGTCATGAATTAAAAATAAATACTGAAGATCTAGGCAGTACAAGATTATAACTAACATTTTTCACATAATTCAGTTAGATGATTGTACTTCTAACAAATGTACTTTTGTGCTCCCAACATAGCTTTTTATGTTAGTACATAGGATTTGCACCGAGATGTAGTATTCGGTTAGTCATATAAAAAATTCAAGAACTGGGCTAAAAGTAACACTAAATAAAATATGTATGGTCTTGAAAAAAAATTAAGACAAATACAAATTATAAAGAAACGCAAGTGTCAGCTAGTATGGAGGCAAGCAGAGGTTTGTCAGCTAGAGCCGCGGCCAGTTCCCCCCTCGTCCCAGTTGAGACGCAACTTGCGCGCGCGCGCTCCCCCCGCCCCGCTCACCGACACCGCACCCCGCGCCTCCAGTAAACCGCATGCGCCACACATTTCGCAGAGATCCAGCGGCGCAATATTGCGTGATGATGCAACTCTGAAAAGTTTTTATGGTTCCCATATTATTGAGCATTCTCTTACAACCAAGTTACAGCTCCATTCAATACATTCGCTAATTGAACTAGAAATTTGATGAGCTGGACTACAATAATAACAATAATAAATTTTTATCTTTCTTCTTTACAATGTAAGGTGTTAGAATAAAACGCTTTCACGGTTTAAAACGAGAACTATATTAGTGAAATTAAATTAAATTATTTTTAGCTACGGCCCGACGTTTCGGATGCTCTGCAGGTATCATGGTGAAGGGGAGATATACTGAACGGGTCGAGATAAAACTATAATAAAAATAAGTTACCCCATATAAATTGCGTTTTAAACCATTAAAGTTCTACTTAAACGTGTTCTACTAATGTAAACTAGAGACAATGTGGGTGGATTTAACATTGATTATCTTTCGTTTTATTCATAAACTATCATAAGAGAATCGTACAATATACTAAAAAAAAATCGAAAATCTTAAAGAATTACTGGCTTTGTCAAACAGTTGTAATGGATCTACTGGCTAAAAGAGAAACCTTTTTTACAATGCACAAAATATGCTAATATGTATATGATTAACTTTCATCAAGCTCACACGAAAGTGGAACTAGTTACATATATCTCGCGAAATTAGCAAAAGATTATTTTTAAACAACATAAAGAATAGTGTAGCGTTTAGTGATTAAGGCGAGGCGTTCTGTGGTTCGAATCACGTATAAATGTTATGAAGAAAGCTCAATTCGGGCCACAAACGGACATTGGAGATTGTAAATCAAAATAGATGTATTTTATTTAAAAGCACATTATTAATATGCTTATTTGAAAGCTGAAAACAAACCACCTAATACTGTCTATAGTTAACACGAATAGTACAGATTTAAATAAAACACTTTAACGGTTTACAACGCGATAGATATTAGTTAAACTTCCCTTGGAGTCTCCTCGTTTCACGGCTGCTGCAAAGCATCCGAAACGTCGGGCTGTAGTTAAAATAATTTTAATAAATATATCGCGTTTTAAACCGTTAATGTTTTATTTAAAAAAAAAACCCAATTTACTTTTGCCTAATCATTATGGGTACTGGAAAGACTTTTTCTTAGAGACAAGCAACTAAGGTACTTAAAAAATCCGTAGAGCAAGAAAATTATTTTCTTGTTTTTAACACTGCATACAACAGTAAACTTACTTCTTGTAGACGTCGTGCAGTTTCCCCATGACGATTTCTTTGTTCTTCCCCCTTGTCAGCATCAGCAGCAAACTGCACAGAATCAATTTCTGCTGCATCGGCATTCCCTCTTCCACGTCCGTGTCAATTTGCCTAGATCCCCCATACACTTCATTTAGTACGGCTAGAACTTGTTTTAGTTCAACGGTAACAGTTGAGTCTTGCATTATATTGTCCAAAGATTTGTTATCAGCGAATTTGTTGCGTCTAGCCAATTCTATTACTCTACGGCCGATGTCTAACGCTCGTCTCATGTCACCGGATACAGCAGCAATCTTGGCTGTGAAATGAATATAAATTCAGTTGTAAGAAACATTATTATATCTTAAGTGAATATGAGGCCGCTAGAGGCAGAGTGGCCTAACTGCAATCTTATGCAGCACAACTTAACGACAAAATTGATTTTGATTTTTGATTTACCTATTTCGGCTTTGGATATTCAAAAAGGCCACAGAAATCGAATCGCCCCTAAAATTATATTAATTTTAATTAAAGATGAAGCAAATTATAATTATTAGGACTTACCTGCTAACATCTGCAAAGCTGGAGCCGAAAAGACATTAGTTCTATCCTCCTTTGTCAGTACATTGGTGAAGATATTTATTATCTGTTCTTTGGAGTATGGGGCGAAATGCAGAGTCTGTGGTCTAAGGGAACAGCGCGCTTGCAGCCGGGGTAGAGTTCTTTCTGTAAGGTCCAGGGCATTGGCTATTCCTATTAGCACTATTTTGGAGTCATTTCGAGCTGGCCACTCGAATATAGTATAAAGCACAGACTGCCGCTTACTGTCCAATTGGTCTATTTCGTCTAATACTAGGAGGCTGTGGACAAAAAAGAAAATGTTCATTTTTAAATGTTATTGGCAAAAGCGAAGCCAAAATTACGAGTATAAGTCTTTGTAAGGCCCATCCTAACTTTTTCAAACTTCATTTAAAAATAGTTAATTTAAATCGAATACGGGAGACGTTACGTTAAGTCGGAGATGGAGTTGAAGTTAAACGCGTAAAATTGTATAACGCGTTCTGATTTCCAAACAGGGTGAGAAACATAAACTCTATAAAAAATTCAGTAGGGTAGATGATTCGGTAGGATCTTGCCTGTATTCAAACTACTTGCTTGCCAAAATAAAATGTACCATTAATGAAACAGATATAGACATGAGAAAATGATATATTATTCGTTGGTATTATGGGAAAGGGTCTTTCTGAACACATTGCGTACAATGCAAAGCACTCCTTCAGTTTTATAAAACTTAATTTAAAATTGCTCACATTTAATTCGACATTTGTTTTATTTATTTATTTATTTATACTTTTTACACAACACACGCACACAAAATAATAATAATATCTATAAAGTATATATAGAGGCCTTATCGCTATTAAGCGATCTCTTCCAGGCGACCCTTCTTAGGAAAATAATGTAAAACAACTTAATTAGGGGAATGTGCAGGAAGTGCGAAACTTAAAATCTAAATAATAATAATAAATAAACATAGTCAAACATATCAGCAAAATATGCCAACAGAACCTTAATTGACCCATTCTTCATGTGCATGAGTGGACAAAAAAATTAATGTATTAATGTCAATGAACTAGTTTCCAATATACTTTTGTTGCATTGCAATTTTAGCAGCTTGACTTTTAAAATGTATTTTAATTTATTTAGCAGCCTGTGAAGAAATTTTTGTTGAACTTTTTTAAAAGAATCAGTTATGAATTTAGACTTTCTCTAAAAAGAGCGAAACATTTTATTTTATTTATTTACAGAATAAATGAATTATTCAAGCAATCGAGACAATGATATGCTGAACAATGGCCGTGAAAGCCTTACACAATTTATTAAAATACATAGGTATCAAATTATTATTATTTTACTTCTTGGCTGAATATCTATAAACATCCTGAGTAATTTCGTATACATATATTTTTTATTATCCACAAAATCTAAACAAGATTTGTTAACTAAAGAGTAATTTTTGGATAAACAATAAATACAAGTGTACAGTAAAGGGTTTATAGGATGTGATTAGAAGTTTAGTATAAACTACTGGGCCATTTAGAAATTAAAATATAAAACAAACTCACATCATTTTATGTTTCTTGCTAAAATACTTTTCTATTGCACTCAGGCATGCCTTTTCAGAAGTTCCTGATGTTTTAATTTTAAGCTCGCTGCAAAATCTGTTGTATATACTTGCTGCTGACTTCATCATAGTGCAGTTTATGTACACTTGGGTGTAACCATCTCTTATCTACAAATTAAATATTATGATTAAAAAATGGGATATTTCATTTTAAAAAAACCCTCGAAGTTTAAAGTTTATAACTAACATGTTAATGTTTGGAACGCAAGCATTGGTTAGAAAAAATATATTTGCAGTGAATTTATCTTACTTAAACTTATACCAAATAAATCCCCCCTCAACTATTATAGGAAAAAAGGATAAATAAATTTTAATTCCACTCAGATAATAAAACTTTGTATTACCTTATCCAACTGAAGTATATATGACAAAGAAGCAGTTTTTCCAGTACCAGGCTGTCCTGATATATATAATGATGCAGGTTTCTCATTGTCAAGATGATCAGTCAAAAAGTTCTCGAGAAACTCAATCTCTTTTTCTCTGCTTGTTAATGGCTTCAGCGTTTCAATTTTACTACAAGTAAAGTAGGTACTTTTTTTTTACTGTGCATATTATTAACAAAAGTTATTGTGACATACTACAATTATGTGCAGAAATGCAATTTTGTTATAAACACTGAGAAAAGTGATTACATAACACAAATTAAGAGTAGTTAAAAATTGAGGATCATAGATCTTCAGAATGTTTACTACTCATAAAACATAAATCATTTATTTACTATATCTACGTAGTTGTTTGTACTTACTTGTTACTTAAGTTATCTTCTAGAACTCCATTCAATTCTTTACTGTTAGTAATACTATTTAGTCTTCCTACTTTCCGTGGGGAGCATACATCTAAAAGAAAATTATTTTTTATTATACGCATGTGATAAACTTGTTAGTTATGTTTGTTTATAAAAGTAACACATACCACTTTCGTAATCTCTTGAATTACTAGATAGCCTCCTTTTCTGCAAGGTATTTATGTTTGTGATATCTTCATTTTCTAAGTTAGATTTTTTAACATTATTTACTAAACCTGTTCGCTTACGCAGCTTGAATGGAATAGTCGTTTGAATATTTGCCATTTGAGTATTCTGTGAATAAAATAAGAAAAAAAGCTTATATAGAATTTGATCTATTTAACACCAAATTTCTAGTAAACATATTTATATTATTGAGCAAAAGTTTAAGTTAATATCTTTAAGCTTTACTTACATGTATATATTTCTAAATAAAACAAACACGTATATGGTCCGTCACAATGGTAAGCTACTAGTAACTAATTCCAAAACATTTAAAATTCAAAACGCACCATAAAAATAAAAATATGTGAAAGCAAATTGATAAGAGGATCAGCTGGTCATTTTATTTAACTTTTACACTTCAGGAATTTGGTTATGTCCTTTCGTTGCAATGTTTCGTCAAACATGGATTTGGCGCGAAATTTACTCGACTCTGTAATTGATATTTGTCAGATTTGACACAGGGAAGATTTTTTAAATAATTTTGTATGGAAAATGAATAAATAGTGTTGTATTTACCCTAATGCTTCAATTGCCGATTAGAATATGTATTCGTATAGAAAAATTAAGGTAAGACTATATTATTTGTTTTTTTTGGACAGTAACTGCTTGTCAAGTTGAAAGTATTATATAAAATTTCTTTTATTAGTCCCATTCATTTTTTCCAATAACTCTACTATTTACTGCTGATGTTATGATAACATCAAATCGCTGAAACGCCTTTTATAAGTGAAACCACCACTTCATTCGATTCTCTAAAATTCAAAAATTTATTGATACGAAAATGAAGATGAAGAAGTTCTGAAGTCTGTGATAGTACGGGTTGATCAGTTGATTCTTATGAAGTCTATGGTAACTGTTTGTGTGATAACAATAATGGAGATATTTCGTACATTGCATTCATGTTTTTATTTGGTATAATATTTAATGGACCTACCTCTATAGTGCGGAATTGAATATATCTCTAATCCTTTCAATAGTTCAATAAGTCAAAGTAATCGAGTTATTTTAACTTATTTTAACTATGGTCATCAGCCGTTCTTTTAATTAAGACATTTGAAGTGACGCTGTGTAATGATTTGTGAAACCTAAAAATGGTTACTTCTAATAAACCAACAGAGAAAAAGGTGGTAAAAATGAGTGCGCCGGTTAATAGCGCTGTTGTTCCGCATAGAACCCTTTTGGGTGAAGTTAACGAACACATAACGTGCCCCCTATGTCGTGGCTATTACATTGATGCTACGACAATAGTTGAGTGTTTACATTCATTTTGTAGATCTTGTATTATAAAACACCTTCAAGTAAAGAAATACTGTCCAGTGTGTGAAATGATGATAAACTCTGCTAAACCTAATATAAAATTAGATAAAGCTCTGCAAGATATTGTCTACAAGCTAGTACCAGGACTCTTTCAAAGAGAGATGGAGCGTCGTCAGACGTTTTACGCATCTCGCCCTGGCCCTGCTGCCTCTGCAACTCCCGAACAAAGAGGTGAAGACACTGAAAGGATTATTTTTAGTCCGGAAGATGTGATTTCTTTTTCACTAGAATACTCTGATGTGACAGATAATGATAGCATTTCAAGTAAATCATCAGACAGTAATGAATCAAATTCTACACCAACTACATCAAGAAGGTATTTGCAGTGTCCGGCTGTTGTAAATATAAGTCACCTTAAAAAATTTCTTAGCATGAAATTTGATATAGACAGCAGTCAATTTGCAATAGATATCTTATATAAGAGAGTCCCATTACCAGATTACTACACATTGATGGATATTGCCTATATCTACAACTGGAAACGAAATGAACCTATGCGGTTTTTCTATCAAATTATTGACTATGTTGCAATTAGAAGCAGATTATTTGACATAAATAGAAAAGGATCTGATGTGGCAGATAAAAAAGCTGCTTCAGCTATTAAAGAAAATGTAAACAACAATCCTGTAGCTAATGTAAATGATCAAGCTTCAGAAACTTCTTCTGGTACTGATAGCCCAATGCCTGATGAAAATTGTATGAAAAGTCTCAGTCAAACAACAAAAAAGGATAGTGAAATTCCTAAGAGGAATACTTCTGGAGATGGGTCAAGTATTGTCAAGAGAAGTAATTCTCCTATTAAGAAAAGTGATGATGAAGATGAAAAGTCACAGTTTCTTAATTCTTTTGAACTCAAAGCTAAAAATAATGCCACAACTTCACCTCTCAAAAACTCGGGTGAAGTTATTTCCTTACCACCTGAAAACAGTTCTAAAATATCTTCCATCAATTCTCCAAAGGAAGATTCATTAAAGAGAAAGTATCAAGCTGCTACTAATTTACCAGAATTAAAGAAGGTAAAGATTGAATTAGAGAAAACTAAGTTTCCTATAAGTCAATGTTTAGCTCGTGGTTCAAACTCAAATGTGCAAACAGAAAAAGGTACAACAAACATAGATCAATTTAAATCTCCAGAAAAAATTAAACCAACAGACAATATAACAAAATGTTCTGCACAGTCTATAAATATCAATGCACCCACCCTAACAAGAGATTCTAAACATTCATCTACTACAGTCAAACAACAGCTGTCTGAAAGTGCAGGACAAAAAAGAGCAACTTCTGAAAGCCATAACTCAACTCCTAAACGTAAACCTGAGAATATTACATCTATAACTTCCTCTCCGGCAGCTCTTCAAAAAACAGTGTCTCCTCTTAAGATTCAGCTATCAAAAACTGATTCTCCCACATTAATAAGCAATAAATCGCTAGAAACATCAAAGACAATACCCAAGAAAATACCAGATTTAAAACCCACTACAGTGTCAAATTCTTCAGGTAAAAATTCTAATTCAGGGAAATTAAGAATGGATCTTTTAGCTAACAACAGCGACCCAACAATTGACAGAAGTAAAATACTATCCCAAGTGAAAACATCAGCTTCACCTAGTGGACCACACACTGGTGAGAATCTTAAGTCCTTGTTTGATTCTTGTAAAATTAATATTCCATCATCCTTATCAATTACTTTGACTGACCAAAAGAGCCCTTCAGATATGCCAATATCTGAACAAAAGAAAAGTGCAGTGAGTAAGACCATTACAAATGCAAATAGTTCAGCTCATAAAGTGCCTAGTCCACCAATACATAATTATATAGAAATAAAGAAACTGCCTGATATTGACAACAAGAAGATCAGTAAAGCAGACACTAACTCAGAATCAAAGTCAGCTTCAATTAAGGCTGATGTTGCTACACCCAAGCCATTAAAATCTAGTGAAACATCTGCAAAAGGGCCAGTTCCCAACTTGAAACCAATAGCTGATACAAAGTTAGCAAAACAAAGTGTTAATTTGTCATCTGGAGCTCCAATTACATTTCAACAGACATTTGAGCAACAACTGCAATCGTTGCAAACAGATTCTAAAACAAAAGGCCCTAAAAATAAAGCTCAAGTACCGAAACTTGTACCAGCTACTCCCAAAACTTTCAGTGCTGCAAGTAAGTTAAATAATGCAAATTGTAAAACTCCAACTACAGGTATGTCAAGTGGAGAAATCAAACCAACAATCGCTCTAGATTTATCAACACCTCACACAATTCAAAGTCAATTAGGTCCCCAACAAACTAAAGCTTTTGAGACAATGCAATCAATAGCAAATTTAGCTAAAAAACAAAATTTACCATCAAAGCCTGTACCATTGTCAATGTCACAAAATATATTCACACCAATGTCTAATAGACCATCATCGTCTCCACTTCGTGTACCATCTGGAAACAATAATAATCAAAATAAGCAAGATAAAACTGCTCCAAATAATCTTAGACAAGACACATCAAAACAGCTAAATACTTTGAAGCAATCAACTTCACTTCATGGAACTGTAACAAATGTTCCATCTCCAAACTATCAAAGTGGTAACCAACCATCGAGTAGCTCCACCCAACCGTCACCACGATCACAAACGCGCTCACCAAGTTCTTCCCCAAAATTAGTTATAGCAGAAGATAAACAAACGGCTAATGCAACATCTGAGCCAAATCAGCCAAATGCATCTATGAATTCCCAACTGTCAAGTATGTTTCCACCTAAAATGGAGTCTACGAAGGATTCACATGGCATTGCTAAACCAGGCTTGAAACCATTGAAGCCATTAGTCCCGCCGAGTAAGATACCGGGCATTCGGCAACCCATAACACCTACTATTCATGCTAATTCCACGATGAGTTCTCAAGCAGATTATTTATCACAACCGCTTATTTCACACGCTATATTCAGACATCAAATGGAAATGCATTCTTGGTTAAAAGCTCAAAGACAATACGACATGTACAAAAACATACCTAATATAACACATCAAAATCCCAAGGATTTCAATAACAAAGAAAAGCAATAAAAACGCATGGAATTATTATAATAATATCACAGAAGCATTCATTGTTTTAAACTAATTCTTAGTTATATTCCACTTATATTAGGTATATTTTAACGTTTAGTTACTAAGAATAAGTTATCGCTGTAAATAATGTTATTACACTAATTTGAATGATATTTTGATAAAAAATAATTTTGTAAGGTGTGACTTTGAGATAGAACTCCATTTTCACAATGTCAAAAATTAAAGATGATAATTTTATTAATCACATCAATAATGAATTTTCTGTAATTATTTTAGTTAAATTGTTTTAAAAGCGCATACCCTCGAGAACAACATAAGGGTTTTTATCGGGCCATTTTTTAATTAATTACCATTGTATACTATTTATTAGGACATCAATAAATCAAGTAGAAGCAGAATATATATATAGTCAATACAATATTGTATTTCAGCCCTTTTGATTATTGACGATACTTTTTTTCACGTAATTAACGCCCTTATTTATGGTAATAATTAAGTATTATAATACAATAGGATAAATGAATTAAAAAATATCTCTAAATGAGGAGTGCAAACATGACTCAACGCACCAATATTTCATCATCACCTCGAACATGGTGCAGAATAAAACATGTAAATATTTTTGTGCAAAATCGGGGGTTGAATCCCAGAAATGGTGTTGACAAATGAAGCGATACTGCACTAGAACAACAATTAAATATTTACCAAGTACATACCCATAAATTTAATTACTATGATCGTGGTATGAATTATATAAGTTTTATTTGTAAATATAATTAATAATTATTTAATATAAGCAATCGGTGTGATTTTGATTTGTGTTTATTTGAAATATAATGTATTATGTCTTACGTTTTTTTATTGCCTTTTTTTAATTTAAATCCATACCAAATACCGTTATAAATTCATTCTATCATTAAACTTTTCAATGGTAAGAACAATTAAATAAATATTTTGGATCTCTAAAATTCTCCAATTTAAAAATAGAGAGGTGGAAAGATGAAGATGTATTTAATTGGAATGAAAAATTTTTCAAGAAGGTTCCATGACCATGATAATGAATCAAGGGGACTTTTCAAAAATCCAGACGATTTTAAAATTACAAAAAATTTTTAATTTTATATTGACTGGCTCGTTAGTGAATTGGTAGCAGGTAGTGTATGGCTAACAATCAACAGGTCGAGAGTCCGAGTCCCAACACGTTTCTAATCAATATATAATTATTCTGAATCATGTCAAACTTTGTTTGGAAATCTGTATATTACATGGGTTATAGGAATATCGAAATTCCTGTCCAAGTTCGAACCGCTGTCCACAGATGAAAATGTCATCAAGTTTAATCGCGGTTCGGTTTTAATCTGTATTTCCAAAGTCAAAATAGGTCGACAGCGCATTTTGCTTAAATGTTATATGCCTGCTGTATTTTATCTACCAGCACATGAACCCTATGATTTCTGTCCTGCTATATCATAAAAAAAACGAAATCAATATGGATTACTTAGGGACCGTTCAAGTATTACGTAAGCACTATAGGGGGGGGTGGGGGGGGTCTTCGTTTTGCTTATTTTTGATGACATGGGGGGTAGGGGAGTCCAGATGATGATTACGTCATCGATATTTATTTACTTTCTGAATCAACTCACTTTCTTATTTTTAAAATTATACTTATAATATAAAAAATAACATTTTTTATTGAAAAATGTTTACGTAAACACGGGGGAGGGGGTAAAAACTTTGCTTACTTTTGCTGACAAGGGGGATGGGGGAGTAAATAATTGTAATAAATCTGCTTACGTAATACTTGAACGGCCCCTTAGTGCTAAGTAAAGTAGTTTTTTTAAAGTTCATTATTATTTGTTGTACACAAATACATTACAATCATATAACTCAAATTATTATATACTTTGAAGGTAGGCTCATCACCTATATCTTCCAGGCAACTGTGACATCGAAACGAAAAAAATAGAGGTAGGCATAGCTACCGCTGTATCAAATGTACGAGGACCCTTGAATTGTTTGAAAAAAAATAAAAATTAATAGATTTAATTTAGTTAAAAATACTCGAAAATATAATAATATGCCTAAAAATATAGTACTATAAAAAGGCGTCGAAAATCACGCTGTGAAATAAGATATAAGGTGTACTTATAACAACATATTAAGGAGATAATTAACATGCAACAATTTCAAAAATAAAGAAATAGAAGAATATTTTAATCGCTTTGGTGTTTGCAGCCTACAAGGCTAGAGACGTTAGTTTTACAAATAATCTTAAATTCATTGATACACATTACACACTAAAGATGATCATTTATTCTTCGTAGTATTGACACAGAGCCTAAGAATCGATACCTTTTTCTCAAACATCGATACCTTCTCTAGTCTGTCTTAGATTGTTTATGTCGTGAATATAAATAAGCATAGGCAAACTAATTTGTAATAAATTATTACAGTAACATTTTTAATAAATGTTGTAAATTGCCGATAAATTTGTGTAGAAACAAAGTATATATTTGTCTTGGTAAAATTTATTCAACTTGGCAAGTGTCTACATGCATGTATTTATAAGATTACAATAGCAAAACAAATTCGTTATGATGTTATAATAACTCAATAAACAAAAGAAATAATGAAATATAGACAAAAAATAAATATAAACCTGATTTAACAACCTTAATAAATACTTAATATTATTTATTTATCATAAATGGTATTTATTAATGATGATAAAATTCAATTACGATTTCTCAAAAATCGGTCAATCGGTTTTCTACAACTCTATGCTTATTTGGCATCACTAATGGTTACCTTAATATAAATTCTTTTATTCGAGACTTCGCACCGGAGTACTCATACTTTTATCCGAAAATATTTATTTAATCTTGGGACTTGTACTCAAATTTTGAAATACATCTTCTTTAATATTAAGTTACCGATATGAGAGCCAAGGTATTTATTTTTATATTTTAAGTAAACTCGCTTGAAATGTTCAGCGTGCGAATAGATATTTGAAAGTGTTTCTCTTGTTTCAGTGGCGTAAGAAGCGTATGCGTAGGCTAAAGCGTAAACGAAGGAAGATGCGTGCGAGGTCTAAATAAACAGGTGAGCAAAAATTTCTATTTTCTCTGTTACAGTACTTCATATCCATTTATTATACTTCAATTTTGTATCTAATGTCAATATAACCCCCTTAGTTGATAGGAGCAAAATAAACTTAACCATGTTTGTATTTTGCATTTTAATAGAGTTGAGAGGCATCGCGTTAAATTATTTTTAACAGTTTTATACACAACGTGCTTAAAGTATAACCTATACACCAGTGTCACTGCAGTATATTGCTGTAGACTGTTTACACTTGTACATTACCCCTAAAACATCATACCATTTTAAAACGAGTGTTTATTTGTATGAATAATAGCAGAAGAAAATCATTCTGTACATTAGCAGTGGCTTTTCGTTTAAAGTTTCCACACTATTTTGTTTTAACCTTTTACTTTTTCAAAACAGTGAACAAAGATAAGAGAAAGCAAGGGGTACTTAAAAGGTTCTAAAAGGGTATACTGTAGTTTTTATGACATTGGTTTTGTACTTTTAATTTTATAAATCGTTTTTCAAACAAATTGTATGTCATCAAAACAGCACTTAAAGTTAAAGCCCAAACAATACTTGCAGGGTTACAATTTAGAATCAAATGTTGATTCCTCTGAGGCAGTCATTTTTCTTATATTGAGAATAATGCTAAGAATTGGAGGATATATTAAAAGTCGTCTCCACCCTTGCAAAACCTTGGTTTTGTTAAGGACTAAGTTTGACTGACATTTGAAATAGTATCAATCTTTTTACTCATTTTGATTAATGAAAAACATGACTCCCCAATGTTGTTTATCTAATTGAAAAATAAGATTTTATATAAACAGTATTTCTATTATTTTTCAGGTACATCTGTGGGCGTCAAGACATTTTCTTTTAACTTGCTTATGTATCTAATAAAATGTTAAAAATCCAATCCTGTTTTATTTTATAGTAATTGTATGACTATAATAAATGAGTAAATTAACATTGGCTCAATTATAGTAGGGAATCAAAAAGTTTTAGTTAAACAAGGGGTACGAAAGTCATTATTATTATACTTGCTGTGTCAGCGACTGCGCATAATATGCGTACGAAGGACTATTATATTATAATAGCTATTTGGGGATTCAAATTGTATTTGCAAATAACGTCTTCATCATTGAGACCGCGGGGCCGGTTGTCCCTTCTCGTCGTTCTTCCTAGTTAACTTGAGAAGAAAGATTCTTCGTTCATCATCAGAAGAATCATTATTTCATACATATTTTTTGGGTGTCTTGAACCGTTATCTCAGTATACCCATCTGAAATCCACAGAATCCGTAGTTTCTGTGGTTAGCGCGTTCAGACAATTGGTAGAAGGCCTGGTGATCCAGCATTTATCTGCTATTTCCCCATTGAATTGATTTCCTTAAAATGACCCTAAACAAACAGAAATATTATGTCTGCTCCTCCTAGGATAAGATTAACCTTCTATGAAGAAGTCTAGCTATGTACCTATTAAATATATATTTTTTATATGTTACTTCAACCAAAGAGTCCAAAATTAACTTGACATTGTCATTTTTTATTTCCATGTGTATTTTTTGAAGGTCAGTCCGTAAGTATATTTTACTTATTTTGTTTAGTATTTTTTACTGATTTATAATTTTTTTTATCTTTTCGACATGGGCCGGATGTCTGGAATCAAATGGGAAAAGTCCGCACGATGTGCACCGGTCCATAATATTATATCGTCGGATTTTCCTAAATATAATCCAACTCCGTGGAAATTTATGGTTAGTTTATTTAATTCTTTATCATTGGTACGTTATTCTTGAGAATAATTAGTCTACCATATATGGGGCTGAAGAAATTTTCTTTCGTCCACCAAAATTTGTAAAATCAATATTTCCTTATGTAGGAAGGTCCATCTCGAATAGCATGGCTATTGTCATACGAATATCAGCGAATGTGGGTTGAAGAAAGAGAAGCATGGAAGAAGAGAATGTATCCTGAAAATACGACCGTTAATGTTGACATCGTTAAAAAATATGTTTTGACCTTCAAATCGAATCACCAACCACCAAAGCCAGAGCAGAAAAAGCCGTTTAAAATGAAGAAGTAAGAATAAAACATAACAACAAGGTTTTTTAACGTGTCCATAGTATTCCAAACTCTTCAGCCAGTTTATTCCATAACATTGATTGAGTGTATATGGAATTATAATTGTCTTCAAGGAATAACTTATTAAGACCAGATATTTTAAAATACTGTACTTTCCAGATTTGAAGGTGTCGGTAGCCGAACAAAAAATAAGCGGCCAGCCAATGACAAAGCAATGAATTTTAATAAAAATAAAGAAAAAGCTATTGCAAATTCTTAAGCACTTTTCAACGACGCCTCGTAGTACCAATAAACACCCTTTCTAAATCTATAAAAGGTTTTCTTTTAAAATTAGCTTACATAGAAATGAAACTACCAACCACTTGTAAGAAAGTTTTAATCTTTGAACTATGTAAAATAAAAACTATCCCACGTCTCGTTTAAACACTAATATTAAACCAGGACTGGCCTGACCTATGAACCTAACACGGGATACAGATATTTAAAAATGCAGATGTTTGAGAGATAATAACCCCTGGTATCTATATGTTTGAGATAGTTACCGCAATTAAGTACCTAACGTATTAAAGAAATTATTTATTTTTACAGCGTCCTTTTATTCGTTGATGTTTTTGGCAAAAACAGCTGTTATAGTCAAAATGAATTACAAACTAGTAGGATATGAGTATTTTTACACACGAATGTATTTATCTGTACTAATTATTTATGTGAGGAAAATTTTCAATGGCCTCAAACAGTTCAAAACATTTAATCAGTCGGTACCTAAATTTATATTCATAAATTGGTTAATTCCAGGCTTTATAATAAACTGAGCCCAAATAGTGCATTATTTAGTGTACAGAATTTGGCTAAAGATGTATATAAATTATAATAGGGCCAAATATTTTTGTTTATATTCTCTTTTATAATGAAATCTTATGCTTTTATAACTATAACAAACATATTATGCACTAAATTACTAATTAAGCATCCTCCTAAGATGACAAAATTATGATTTCCACTATATTTGGTCTTCATTACCTTGTGAACATAAATTAAACGTAATGTTTGCCAATTGCTTTTAATGGAATGAAATTTAGGCGTAATTTATGAAGGTTATGTGGGGTAAAAGTCTTCTATGTTTTAAAAAATTATCCAAATTGAAAACTGAAGCCCGCACCAGGGTAACCACCTCCACTATGAAAATCGTAATGTTGCCCTCCCCTGAAGAATGATTGGAACACCACATTTGGGTCAATATCTGGAAACAAAAAATTATTTGTCTCATTATATTGCTACTGATGTCTCAAGCATGTTGTTACTTTTGAGATTAAAATATGATCCTGCCTGGATCTATTGATTTATCTAGTTTTTGTGTACAAAAAGTGTATGGTTAAATATTATGAGTGTACACAGTGGATAACATAAATATCTTACCTCCTACACCAGAGCCATCATCGTCAAGGTCGTGCCCATGGTCATATCTTGCGCGTTTCTTGGGGTCGCTTAGAACTCCGTACGCCTCTCCTACTTCTTTGAATCGTTTTTCTTGCTCACGTCGCTCAGTGTCCGATGCACTTGCATGCCTATCTGGATGATGCACCAGAGCTCGCTTTCTGCAATCCGATTTATCAATGTTACTATCAATACAATCGCATTTAAGAAACACACAAAAAAGTAGATAACACACCACACATCAGTACGTACCTATAAGCTTTTTTAATATCCGCTTCCGACGCAGTCTTTTCAATGCCAAGAATTTTATAATAATCTTTACGTTTAGACTTCTTTAAGGCAATTTTCGCTTCGTGAAGCAATTGTTTGTTTTCCTTACTTTTATCTATTTTGTAAAGCTTTTCATAGTCTTTTACCGCTTCTTCGAATTCCCCAAGTTCAGTGTAACATTTGGCGCGGCGAAGTAAAGCTTTAACATAGTTTTCGTCCAATTCCAGGGCAGCGGTGCAGGCTTCGGCAGCTTCTTTAATTTGATTGAGTTTGGCACATACTGTTGCTTTGTTGAAATATAACTTGGCATTAACTTTTTTGTTGTTCTGGTCAATTGTTAGTGCTTCATTGTATAAATTTAATGCCTGTTGCCACCGACCCATCTTAAATGCTTCATTACCTGAAAGAATATGAAAAGGTGTTTAATGGTGGAATCTGGATTCAAAGTTAGGACTGCCAGCACTTATTACAATGGTTTTTGTATGCATTTAACCATCAAGCCACTGAGGCAGTCACAATTATTTAGGTGTTAATAGAATTTGTATTAATTTATGAAATATAATATGCAGCTAACTTTTCACATATATAAGTTAAAAAACAAAATACAGTTCTTGAGAAAACTTCTGTGCCCTAACCAAAACTATTATTATAATCTTTTGTTCAATAGTAGTATGAGTGTTCTAAGCGTAACAATAAAGTCACCTTCTTCTTTTTTTTGTTTTAAGTGTTTTGCTTTCTTGTATGTTGCCATTGCCTTTTTGTGATCTGGAGCTAGTCTTAATACTTGTTGGAAGTGTTTGAACGCTTGATCATCTTTATCCTGCAAATAATGAATTAAGCTGAAAAGTTAGTTTGTATATATGTTTGAGCGCACTAATCACAGGAACTACTGGTTTGAATTGAAAAATTGTTTTTGTGTTGGTTGGAGCCTTTATTGAGGAATACTAGAGGTTACAAAACACGCGGTGTGACTAATAGGAGCGACGAAACAGCGGGAAATGTCGAAAAAACGGGGAAGAATTATTCATCCTTGTGGCTTTCCGCTAGTGACGGTTAATCCCAAAATTAATGTAAGAAATAATGGTTTCTCTTTAAATTACCAAAAAAAAGTCCGCGACAGTATATATCTATCTTTACGATAAACTTGGAAGAACGACGGGAAGGGACGCGACCGACGTAGTGGGTTTCAGCTTAAGTTTATAAAGTTCAGGGGGTTAGCAAAAATGAATTTGGACGCCCAACATAACGATTCTAGCGGATCTCTAGGGAAATGGGTGAAATGGTCAGCGGATGGTTTGGAATGATTACCCTACCTTCTATAGGTGTCCCCGAAAGACAATAATATTTTATATACTCCATATATCCATACGTACCTCAAAGTAAAGGCACAATCCTCGAACATAAATGGCTTCTATATCAAAACTGTCAAACCTCAATGAGTCGTTAGCAATTTCTTGTGCTTCTTGACACCTTCCGAGCATTGCCAGACATTCAGCTTTTATAAGTTTGGCTCTATAATTATTATTTTTAATTATTATACTATGCTACTTATTAACAAATAATTTTGGTGATTCATCATTCAGTTTATCATTTTTACCAATCTGAATAATTAGTAATTAAATGCAAAAAAAAATGATTGTGAGTGGAATGATTTAAGACCACATAGGAAGTATTTTATCATGTGGTTTGTTACTATACATAATTCTCACTGAATATTTTCATAATGTTTCTTTAGAGTCTAATTACTTTTTGATAGTCAGAAAAAGGTGGAAATACAGAATAACTATCAGACTATGGTTTTGTGGTCCTACCAATATAATTTAAATAATACATAGTAAATAGCTTTAACGGTTTAAAACTACGACCCGACGTTTCAGATGCTTTGCAGCAGCCATGGTCACGGGGAGTTAAAAATCAATTTCAAATAATATATCGCTATTTAAGCTGTTAAAACTAAAAACAGAAAAGAAATTAGCTGTTTAAAAAAACAAAATATGTATAATCAATAATAATCACCGTGAACTAGCAGGACTATATTCTAAACAACGATCCATACAGAAGACCACACGTCTAAAATCACTAGTTTCCATAGCTCGTTGTGCATCTTCATGCAGTCTTCTCAGCGATTCAAGTGCACGCTTTTCATTAAGGGCACAATCAGCTCCTCCCAATTCAGAAGCTTGTTTAATAGCTTGCTCTCCACCGGATAAATCACCTAATAATATTTATAAATTTTTTTTTTCAATAATCATTATCTGAACATTTTACAAACCAGCAATCAATTTTTGGTTCTATTAACTTACACAACAAAATTATATTTATTGAACTCTAATTCTGACTTTAAGACAAAGAATAAGAATTACCTAAAGCAATACAACATTTAGCCATCCTGATATACCCTTTTGTAAATGTGGAATCAAGCGCAACAGCTTTTTGAGCATCCTCCAATGCTTTTTTATACATGCCCAACATCATGTAGCATGCTGATCTATTTCCGTAATATGCAGCATTTTCTGGGCACAATTTAATAGCCTCTTCATACATTGCCAGTGCTCCTTTATAATTTTTGAATTTGTACAAATTATTTCCATTTTCCTTTTTTTCCTCTGCCAGTCTGAAATATTTAGTTATTTAGAAATGTTGTCCCTTTCATATTAAAAGCCAATATAAATGTTATATTCCCATACACTCCTAGTTAATTTTGATAAAATCTTTGGTAGATCAAAAAAGAGTACAGAATTGATGCATTAATTAAATTTGTTCCGTTTTCTAAATAGAGATACGAGAGAAATTAATTGAAACAAAATTTTAGAAACATTAGTCATAAACACAGGCCCAGGTTCAATCTTAACTACCCACCTACATGCAAAATTTATTGCAGACATGTAGGGCAAATGTCAAGGACCTAAACCTAGGAAGTCTTGATGCGTGTATTTCATTTGAAACACGATGTTGAGAAAAGAACTAAGTAATAAGTAGACATAGTAAAGAAAAATGTATAGCGCTAGGTTCAAACAAAGGCATCAAGGAATATGTTTAAAACTAATCTTACTTCTCTGGGCTTTTTGGCACTAGATCGGTGAAATTGGCAAACATCTTATCAATTTCAGATTCTGCCATTGTCGCTTTTTAAAATTCGCACTTTAGATTGACTGACCACATGCAACTATTTATTTGGCAAAGGATTAGGGAATCACCATGAAAATACCAAATAGCAATTTTGTGCAAACATCCGAAAGAAAGGACCTCCACAGAACAGTGAATATCGTGCTACATACTACATAGGATATTACTTTACAGCAGATGTAGTAGGGAAAGGCATAGTCTATGGACAAGTCGATACGTTTTGCCGAGCGACAGATTATTGTTATCCTGTACTTTCGACAGACTTGTTTTGGGGCTATGCCACAGCTTATATTGGGTGTCGATTAGTTAGTTTCTTAAACATAATTTGAAGAAAAAATCGTGTATAAAATTGTAATGCTATTAATTCGTGGCCTTAGATAACCATGGCTGATACTGAAGGAAATAAAATCGAATGGCAACCATTAGCTTTAACATTAGTTGAATATCCTAAAGGTATGATTTTGTGCCACTGACTCTTTACTTGAGTACTGGTTCAATCGTTGCTCTGAAACATATTTACGTTTTTTATTTCATTGTTTTAGGTGACTTAATTGGTAAAATATTTGCCATTATAAGTCTAGCTCCATTTGGTATAGGGTCTGGATTCATTGCATTAATACTATTTAGAAGAGACCTACATACTGTAAGTATTATAATATGGTTATTTAATAGAAATTTCTCTTTAAATACACCTGGGTGTTATATTGTATTTTATTCTAACACTCAACTCAATGATTTAAGACTACTAGATTTACTAGTAACTTAATGTTTATACTATTTTATTATTACAGATTGCTTTTTTTGTTGGAACACTATTGAATGAACTTATTAATATAATACTAAAACACATATTTTGTGAAAAAAGGCCATTGTCAAGGGGAAATTTATACAATGAATATGGAATGCCATCATCACATTCCCAATTCATTTGGTTTTTTAGTATATATGTTTTATATTTCTTCATTTTCAGGTAAGTCTTTAATTATCTAAATCTGTACAAATGAATGAATATATAGATTTTATTATAAACTGTTTCTAATATTTTAGGTTGCATCACATCTATAACAACAATATTTTATCAATATTGTGGAAAGTTATAATTGTGGGTAGCTGTTTTTTATTATCACTGATTGTGAGCATCGCGCGAGTATATTTAGAGTATCATACAACAAGACAAGTTGTTTATGGAGCTCTAGTGGGTTGTTTGACTGCAACACTTTGGTTCACCGTAGTACATAGAGTTCTAACTCCACTTTTCCCACAAGTAGCAAACTTGTAAGTATATTTTTTTTGTGAAATCTAATTTTCGTTATGCAGACAGATTTCTGTACATGTTTAACTAGAGAGAGTAGTTAATCAGACATCTCTGGACATCTATCCAGGACTGCAATGCAAAGCTTTAAATTAGTCACATTCAAGTCAATCTATATTATCATAATTTCTTAGTCAAAATCCGTTTTAATGTACTAAAAAGTAATATGATACTTATATATTTTTTCCTCATTTCAGGAAAATATGTGAATTACTAATGATAAGGGATACAACATTGATACCGAACGTCTTATTCTTTGAGTACACGAAATCTAGACACGAAGCGCGTACGCGAGGTCGAAAGTTGGCTGCTTTGAAACCGATTCGATGACGATGGGCCTTCGCACGCGTCCCCGACTCATATATTTATCGTCACAGAGTCCGCGCGTGACGAATACTTGCTGCCGCGGCCATTGTACTCCTCGGCGGTATTACACTCTATAAAATGTATATTTAATCTCTTTGACCCAATCAAATCCAATAATTATAACATAAAATCAGGTCAGCTTATGTTAGCTGCTGTCTAACTTATATATTAGTCCCATCTGGATAACTCTAAATGTCATTATCTCTTGGTAAAATTGGGCCTTGGATAAATATTGTTGCATACAGGTATAGCTTAGTTTATAAATAGATTTACAATATTGTATTGTATTTATAATTGTAATTCTTCTTGGCATACATGCAATACCTGTTAGACAGGTAAACAATCATTTATAAAAATGAAATGCTGAGTTCTTCGACAAGCTATTGTGTCTTCATTTCGACATAATTTTGTGGAACGAATTTCACAAACGTATAATTTAAGTATAATCTTTGCTGATAGGTGATAAATCAAGATGATTACATGATTTTAAATCAAATAAAAGATGTCTTACATAATGAATCAGGTAGTTTTCTTAAAATAATGTGAACTAGATTTAGATTAAAAGCTTTATAACATTGCTGGCCCTTTACTTGTGTTTTCTAGATGTAGTGTATTTAATATTTAGATTTCCTTTTTAAAACGATAATACTGCCTTTCTATCAAAAAACTTAATAATTAAGTTTTTGTATATTGAACTGTACATGATATTGTAAGTAAAGGTTGTGTTAGAATATTAAACATTTAATTAAATTTAATATTAAAGACCCTAATTTAGCCAATTAGGTTATCTAAAATAAAAAACGCTAGGAAAAATCTTATTCATGTATTTAGTAGTATGTAGGTAGGTAATTGTTATTTTCTTTGTATGGCTCTGTTATTTAAGCCAATATTGATTGTACGTATAATTACTTGTAATACTGATGAAGCAAAATGATACAAATGATTGTAATACTGAGGCAGCACTGCAGCTATGAAGTTATAAACGGCCAAGAACTTGACTTAGTATTAACCATAAACCTTTGTTTTTACTGTCTAGTCCAATGGCATTATATTATGATTATTAGATAAATTTTACAACATTCTACACGTAAAACATCTACTCGTTCTTAATGCAATAAGACAAACCTTTATGTTTGTTTAGAAATATATTATTATTTTTATTACATTTGTGTTTTTTATTTAAAAAATCGCAGAGCTTGAAATTACTTATTTTAACATATTGTGCCGTCTTTATTTCTTGCTACTGAAGGTTTAGTTCGAGGAGTTTCCTTGAAATATAAAACGGAAGTTCTGACATACTACAAATTACTGAAGATTTTATTATAGTTTATCATTGTGATTACCAGTACAGCATGAAGTCGGACACTCGTCTTTACTACTTAGGGAGTTTATAGATTCGTATGATTTGCTACTTTCCGATACATGTTCCAACCATTGCTAAGGACAAAGTAAAAGATTTATATATTGATTTAAAAACAAATTGGAAAGAGAAAATCTAGTTGTTTAAACTAATATTTAGGGCCGCGTGTATTATTTTTCATATAATAGAAAAAAGCGACAATCGGGGCATGGTAGCTCAGATGGCAGAAACAACAGCACTAGCAGTAGTTGTAAGTTCGGAGTCCTCCCGCGTCGTCGAAGTTTGGAGAAACTGGGGCTTACATTTCAATAAAATTAAAGTTCCATCACATGGAGGCAATACCTTTTATAATTAGGTGTGTATTTAAATATAGATAGGGAGTTACGGAATTAGAGTAGGATGCGCCTGTGGTGCCTGTAACCAGAACACCGTTTCCTGTATCTTTAAACTGTGTTATGGTCGCTATAATTATATATTATACTAATCGTCCATATAAAGGAATTATAAATCAAAGTACACCATAGCACAGGCCTCCCCCCCCTAACTTGGCTTGTTTTTTATGACTTACAGGACAATGTTTCTACTTAAATATCGATAGCCCAAACCCGACCCTCAGTTTAGAGTACAGTAGGTACAAATAGTATTACCCGTTCAGGTGGTATCAGACGATCCACTTTTTTCAGAAACGAAAAGTTAGCTTTATGACCAATTAGATGCTTGGTAACTTCTGTTGTTGAAATGGCTTTATTCACAATTCCTTGCAATGTTTCTGGATCCTCTTGTAACAGATTCGGAAACATAAGGGTGAGGGGCTCCAGATAAGATTCATCGTCTTGTACCTGAGATAATTTTAGAAATCTAAACAGTAAAAAGTAATTAAGTACCTATCTAGCGTAACCCAATTTAGTTTTGAATTCAATCATTATACTATTATACTGCGAGAAATGTGAAAAAAAAAATCCGAGTTGTACGCTGAGAAACTGTTCAAGATACCTACCAAAAAAATATGTATGTAAGTATGATTTCTCTTTATACGGTCAAAAAAAAGTCCGCGACGCTATATCTATCTTGCAGGAACGACGGGAAGGGAAGCGATCGCCGTCGTAGGCTTAAATTTATAAAGATGAAGGCCGAAGGGACATGCAATAACGATTTTGGAGGACGAGGTCGCTTACACAACAGTCTAGTATACGATAGGTATCTTATAAAATTCACAATCAAGAATCTCCAAAAATATGAGGCTACTATAGAATTAACATAGGGGAAAAGAAGTTAAATATTGTTTCCGTAAAAATTATGTTAACAATTTGCGGTCACTGTGCTCTTTTCGAATAACACTTTTAGACTCTTTATAAAAATTTAAATAAGTCAAGTCATAAAGTTGAAGTTAGGCTAGTTGGCCTCTAGCGGCCTCATATCATGTATAAACTAGCTATCAATGTTATATAAAATTGCAAACACATGTATACTATGATTTCTCCAGCCGGTGTGTTACTATCATCTGTTCTTGAACTGTTTGAGGAATTCCCAAGAATATCCACCCACTCGGAGTCTTTTGCTATTAAAGAACAGCTATTCTGTTGAAAATGTTCAACAGTATCTTGTACCAAGTTAACTCTCTGGAATGAAGGATCAATATTATTAAGTAATATTCTTGAGTTTTATATATATTTAATTTTTTTTTTATATTTTTACTCACTTGGCTATTGTTTAAGGGTTTGAATCCTCAATTTCTAAACTTATATAAAAGGGCTACACCAGTTTAAATAACTTAAATTGATTTCTACTTTCATTAATGAAAAGACAGGGATAATGTAAATGTGAAATGGAGTGGCTGAAAGTCTCAATCTACTCATACCTACTCTAAAATGTTAAAGTATTTTTGTATTGCTTAGATCTTAATGTATTATTCAAATGTAGACTAACTTTGACTGGTCTGTCAGAGTAACATGTTAAAGAAGTTTTTTGTTTAGTTTTCTTTATTCTCTTTTTAGGTTCAATATTACTCATTTTATAACACACATTGTGAACAAACAATCGGTAGTGAAAGAATTACATATTTTTTACTAAAACTTTTAATTTACTGCAAAATTAGAAAAGCAAACATGTTCCATATTTTTATTATATGTCATTGGTATATGTCAATCATTCTAATGAGTATAATTCAATAATAAGTATTGTTCCGTTTAAAGGAATACCTCCTTTGTGATCACATAAAACTGTTTTACTAATAAAATTCAGTATTACAACAATTTACATTCATAATGTATTGGTTAAAAAATAACTAAGAATAGTCATCATCTTCCTCATCTTGGTTAGGTATCAATGGTGGCACATATGATTGTGGACCTCCCTCAGGACCAATTAAGCCTTGTTGTTGTAGCAGAAGCCATTGTTGCTGCTCTTGCTTAGCTTGTTCTTCTCGGGCCTTAAAATTAATAAATTCATAATAATCAACTGTGTATGATGCTTTGCTCAATAAACCAGTGTATGTCAAAACATGTGCACAGACTTAAAATGTATGTAAGCATTTACATATATATATTATAATTTACCATACATTTTGGCTTTTTCATTTAATAAAAAAAATTGCAAAGTAAGACCTTGGCAAATAGTTCCTGCTGCTGTCTTAATAATTCTTCTTCTGGTATGCCAAGATTTTCAAGTCTTGTACTTTGTCTTCTTCGTTTTGCAGCAACAGCTTTACAGTCTCTTAATACAGCTTCCGCTTCTACAGTGTAATCGCTGAAACCTAATTTATCTAAGGCTGTAAAAATTAGATGTTTTATTATGAGGACTTTGGTAGTGAGTATATTTTCTTCTAGCAATGATTTTACTTATTACCAGTAAGAACATGTTCCGCATTTATTGTCTTCTTATTACTCTGATTACATACATCATTAGCTTCCGAACTTATAAGATGAATGAACTCGGTACAACAATTCAGAATTAATTCCCTAGATTCAAAGGCTACTCGTACTGATGGTACCAATTCTTTGATCATTTTATTTATACTGGCCCGAGGTAGAGTCAGTTCATCTTCCTCAGATGGGGGTGGACACAGTTCTCGTTCCGGACTGCCCATGGCTGTTTTGGTTTATCTCCCTTGTATTAATATCATTTAAAATATATGTTATAACTTATATCAACGTAATAATTTTATTGTTTATTTCTCACAATATGTATTTTGACAATACTTAAACTACGATGTCAAATGTGACAATTGAGCGAGAAAGATTGAGATGTGAATTGCCTTATCGGATGTCTTTACTATTTATTGTCAATGTCTTATTTTCGGAGGTATTTTGATTTAAAAATTACCTTAATGAGGTTTCGTGCACGAATATCGTACTTTTAATAACATTCTTTTAAATACATAGATAAATAATTCTGCTGTGATTCTTCAGTGTTAATTTTTAAAATGGTTTTTTACTTCACGAGTAGCGTTGTAGCTCCAGCGGTTACATTATTCATGGGCGCTGATAAACATGAAAGTAAGCATTATGGTCCGTTGTTTTATGAAAATGGTAAATGTGAATATTTAAGTAGTGTTAATTTATGTTTAGATGAAGACTTGATAAAATGGGGATGGCCTGAGGATGTATGGTTTCATGTTGATAAGGTGTCTTCGGCACATGTTTATCTTAGACTAGCACCAGTAAGTCACTTCAATTTTAAATTGAAATCAGACTGATTAACACATTATAAAAAAGGCTTTTATGTACAGGGCCAGACAATAGATGACATACCAAATTCTGTACTAGATGATGCTTGCCAACTAGTTAAGGCAAACTCAATTATGGGAAATAAAATGAATGATATAGATATTGTTTATACAATGTGGTCAAATTTGAAGAAAACTCCAAGTATGGAGGTATGTATAAATAAAGGTTTAAAAGATTATCTTCAAAGTAATAATTTCAATTGTTTATATATTTCAGGTTGGTCAGGTAGCATTTCACAAAGATAAAGATGTGAGAAAAGTAAGAGTAGCTAAAAGATGCAATGAAATTATTAATAGACTGAATAAGACAAAAAAAGAAGCATTTCCTGATCTTAGACTTGAAAGAGAAACAAGAGACAGATTAGAAAGAGAAGATAAAAAGAAAGTTTTAAGGGAGAAAAAAGAAAAGGAGAAAGAAGAGGAAAAGAAAAAGAAAGAGGAAGCAGAGCTGAAGAGCTATTCCACATTAATGAAACCTGAAAATATGACAACAAACTATGATGGGAATGACTCTGATGACTTTATGTAAAAATATATTGTTTAATATAAAACACATTTAATTGCCTGCCTTTAGAATGAAAGATATAGTCAGTTTTCAAGTATATTTATTCCCACTGATAAGAGAGACTTAATTATCCAAGTTGGATATTTTCCATCATTATAAACTTCCTTCATAAATGTTTTCACATATTGGGGAAATGTCCCATTTTTAATATTGTCCCTCATGGTTTTCATTAAATGCATCTGCAAGAAAATCATTTTTAATGAATTATAAATTCCATTGTTATAATTAATGGCATGTGTTAGAAAAAACTAATTCACTGAGAAGTTATATAAAACTATTAACTTGGGAACAATACACACCTGGAATGAAATATTATGAACTGATATCAAGTGACATGCAACAGTTTCTACTGAAACTACACAGTGTAAATATGCCCTGGTATATGTTTTGCAAGTTGAGCAATTACAGTCTTTGTCAATGGGATTGAGGTCGGTTTCATATTGTTTTTGTTTTAAATTTAGTTGTCCTCTTGTAACTAAAGCACACCCAAATCTCTGCAATTAAATCATTATAATGCATAAAAGTGTGGGCCTATTCAAAATTTAATCCCAGGTTCTGATTCTTATTAAATTAATTTACAAGCTAGTGGGTGATTATACTTTTGCAATGGTATTCAACATGTTAGATTAGTTTTATGGCGGTAGTTACAATAAGTTCTGCTATTTATTTTAATACTTACTGCAGTTCGTGTTGGAAACACACAATCAAACATATCTACACCAAGTGCAACACATATCACTAAGTCTATTGCAACTCCTACCCCCATTAGGTAACGTGGTTTATCTCTGTGTAACAAATCAGTGCCCAGGGTTACTATAGGCCAGAAATCATCCTTTGCTTCTCCACCACTACAAGACAAAATTGTTTGTGTGAAAAATGAACAATTCACCAGATTTTTTAAATATATTGTTTTATAATTTACCTTAAACCACCAATTGCAAAGCCATTAACTTGTTTTGTCATGTGTTCTGTGGCACTTTGTATCCTTAAGTCCTTATTAAGTAAACCTTGTACGATTGGAAATATGCTTTGATCAAAAGGCCTTTTATGTGCTTTTAAACATCTGTCTAGCCATCTACTGGTTCTTTCTGTTGCCTCTTTTATACGATCATAATCTTGAAAGGTAGTTCTTACTACATCATCTAGTTGCATTATGATATCGGCACCTATAAACGAATTAATATGCAATCATAAGTTGATCACACATTGTATAACTAGGATATAAGAAAATAAAACTGACTTTACCAATAGAATTTTGTATTTCAATAGACTTTTCGGGTGTTAACATAATTTCAGAATTGTCATATGGTGATCTAAATTTGACACCTTCTTCAGTTATCTCTGCCAATTTAAGTAAAGATACCATTTGAAAGCCTCCTGAGTCAGTGAGCAGTGCCCTCTTCCACCCCATGAAATTGTGCAAACCCCCAGCTTTTTGTAAAACATTTATTCCAGGGCGATTCCCTAAATGGTAAGTGTTGCCAAGAATAATTTCACAGTCCAGGTCTTCTAATTGCTCTGGAAGCAAGCCTTTCATAGTACCCTGCCAAATAAGCAGTATTAGTACAAAAGTTATTTAAAATTATATATTAATAAAATATGATAAATAAGACAAACTAACCTGCGTTCCAACAGGCATAAACACTGGTGTCCTTACATTGTAATGAGGCAATTTCATTAAACCAGTGCGAGCTTTTGTTGTACTGCATTCTGCTTCCACATTGAATTGTAACGCTGAAGCGCTAGCCATGGCAGAAATTTTTTCTATTTATGTATTATATCTTTTTGTAATAATTTACGGTTATGAGCGATAAATAAAAATAAGCCTCTTGATTAAAATTCGCTAGGTTTGGACTGGCCTTTATATATATCGATTATTAATATTTGTTTTAATGAAACTTTATTAAAAGTGTTATCATAAATTCATCGCGTAAACAACACCAGAGAACACTAACAAATAATATCGATTATACGACTTTAGGTGTATGACGGTTGGTTGAGGAATGGTAAACAGAGTATCTATATAATAACAGATGTATAATTTGTTTCTAATCGGCGATTTTGGGTTATTGTTCACCGAGTGTATCATGATTTCGGGGTAAAATTTACTGATTATATGTGATTTGTAACTAAAAAAAATGTGATGAAATCTAGTAAAATATAGTTTTGTGCTATGAGTAACGACATAATATATAATAGTTTATTATTTTAAATCAATTTGCCTGTAAAAAACTATACTATACTTATTAAAGAATATTATATTCTATACATTAAACTTATTGACCTCTTATATTCGGTAGTGACCTTTATATAGAATTCGAGTCTAAAGTTGGATTGGATGAATAGATTTTATTTCTGGCAATTAATATAGTTGCAATGGTTAGCATTAGCGACATCTATCTTAAGTCATAATAAGCAGGTGGGTTATTAATAAAAACCTATTACATAGTTGTGTTACGAATCTGTCGACTGTAAATCACAGATTAAATTTGCTGTGGTGTAATTTTATTGTATTTGGTTAAAAGTGGAATTGCTTCATTTGCTGATAATAAAATATATTTGCAAAAGTTTTAAAATTAAGAGACATATATGTGCAATATTGCGTTTATTTGTGCCAATTAAAAATAAAATAGTTTTGTGAAATCTAAGTAAGTGAGAAAAAACGTGCTATTAGTGCATCATGTAGAAAGGACTTTTCAGGCACCAAATGCGTGTTTTTTATGTTGTCGTTAAGGAGTAGGTAATATTGTTTTTTTTTATTAAAATATATTTGAGACTGTTAAAAGTATCATCAATTTTGACTAAGAGGTTTTCGTGAATTTGGCTTTTAGAGTACCACGTGTTTTTTACGGTCTTATTATCCTTGGTTCGATTCCAAGTGCTCGTACTCAATTCATTTTTACTTTTTTATTTTTTATTTTAGGAAAACCCAATTTTGATACAGTTATTCTCTATTAAGTTTCTCAAATATTACCATTGAACTATATTTTAACTTTCTCAACTGTTTGTTTTTTAATAACTTAAATATTGGGTGCAATATAACGTTTACTAGGTTTTAAAATTCTATGACATAGGGAAAAATTTCAAACTCATATGCAGCTCTTGATTTTTTCAGAACCTTATATAACTACTAAATACAATTTTATACAAGATGAAAAAGCATAAGACTAAATCAGATAAATTAAGTAACAATGAAAGTCCAAATGTATTAGTTTTACCACCCAAACTATTAGAAAAACTGGGTATTTCTTTAGGAAATATTGACTCAGCCAAAGTAGATGTGAAACCAAAAGGTGAGATTTGTCTGTAAATTATCTTTTTTATTGAATATATTTGTTTAGGTAAAAATGTTGTTCTCATAGAATAATTTTTATATCAATTATTTCAGAACATGCTGATGTTAGAAAAAATGTAAAGGATTCTTGTATAAACAGTAAAAACATTAATGATTTATCTGAATCTGATTTAAATGGGGAACCATCCTTTGATTTTGAATCTTCTTCCCCAACTTTTGTATCATCGTCACCACAAAACAATCTTTCATTAGATGAGACGTCTATAATGAAAACTGCCAATTTAATGAAAAAGTCTGTGTTTCTTAGTCCTACATTTTCTTACTCTCGGTCACATTTAGAGCCTAATAGTAGTGAAGATGTTATATCAAGTTGTAACATACCTGATATAAATGTTAAAAACTTAGAGCCCACTCACATTGGTGATGGTGAATGTAGCAAAATAGAAAGTATTGTAGACACTCACAAATTTGATACAGATACAGAAAAAGAACAGTTAGATTGTTGTAATCAAGATATGGTAAATGTTAATAAGAATGCCAGTAAAAAACTTAAAATAAATGTTATATCAGAGGAGATAATTGCACCAACAGAATGTAGACCAATAAGGCATTCACCTAAAGGCTCCACACTTATACCGGTTTCAATAGACTCTGTTATAATAAAAGCAAAATCAATAGTAGTTTCTAATAACCAAGATTCAGAAGAAGAATCAAGGCATATAGATAGCTGTAGTGATCACAGTAACATGATAAATGATAATACTCTCATTTGCCAAGACATCCATGTTGAAAATGAAGTGCCCAAGGGACATGAAGATAACATATTGTCTACTGATTCAATAAAACAGACAGCAGCACATATTGTAAAGGAGGTCTTAGAAACTTCTGAAGTAGAAATAAATACAGAAGTATGCAATGTGGAAATGTCACACGATAATTTACAAAATGAATTAAATACTTATAAAGAAAATAACACTGATAAACAAGGCAAAAATAATGTATTAATGGAAATTGAAAATAAAAATAAGGAGAAAATGGTACTCGCAAATGAAATGGCTACAGTAACTGAATCAAATATTGGTATAAAACCAAAATATTTAGAAAATGTACAAACAAGCACACCTGTAGATATTCAGCAAATTGTCTCTAGTAATAATGATTTAATTGATCCTAAAGTAAACAAAAGTGGTAATGATAATGAAGTTCCAAAGGTAACACAAATGAATGAAGTTATTTCTTCCAATACGGATACAGTGTGTAGAGTAAATCGTCGTGCAGTGCAACCTAAGTCATGCATACAGGGTGTTGAAAAGCCTGGTGGTGAGACAAATATTTTATTGCAATTAAAAATAGAAGACAATAAAAGGACATACTCAAGAAGGGTTAGCAATGTGAAGTTGTCCACTACAAGTCGGGATATTCCCAAAGAAAACTTAGCTAATATAGATTATAACATTACTGAAAATAATGATTTGTATGATAGTGATCAGTTGTCTAAGTTTTGTATTTGTTCAGACTATGGATACCTGAAGAATTATGATGAAGATTGTTCACAGCATATTCACTTTTTTAATCAAAGGGCACTTGGGTGTTCTTTGGACACTGTGTTCAGCATTTTTTATGACCATTCAAATTTTGATTATAAGGAAATATGTACTGAAGAAATTAGTAGTAACATTAGTGACAGTCAATCAGAGAATAATCCTCACATATGCTTTAATGATATAATGCTGGAAGACAATATTGACGCAACTGACGGAAACTGTAATGAGATTACAAATGTATGTAAAGTAGGGAATGAAAATAACGGTGAAGGAATAGTTAAAGAAATGGTACCTAATTCTGGGATTAGTCTTTCTAGCCCAATGGAGGAACCGAAACCTGATGTTAGTATGATAAAAAGCACAACTATATAAAGTATAATTCAAATTGATAAACTAACACCCACGCGCATCATTTAACTCTTATATAAAACCTGAGTAATTCATCTTTTGGTCTCCATTTTATTGTTTATTTTTTATTGTTATGACATTACTTGATAGATAGATGGAATTCCCTAGCCATATAACATCTACACATGATGCGCGGTCGACCTATTTTGGTTTTAAAAATTTAGAAATCCACTGACTGAAAGCTATTGCTTTATTTTATCAGGCTATATCTATATTATATCAGGCTATTGCCTGATATACTTCTTCAGTGCTTTTCCATCTTGTGGTTCGTGACCCAGACGTAATCCGATCCAACGTGCTCATTACAAATCTATTTATTTGTTAATACGAAGTTTATTTTTACAGGATTGTCAAAAATCCTTTTGTAAAACAAACACAGCAAATGCAACAGATTGTGAAATGGTAAAAAAGACAGATGTACAACCGGAAAAACGCCAACATCAACACTCAATACAGGTTAGTTCTAGTTTTATTAATTTTATTGGGTAATTAAATAAGATAATTTACAATACACGAAATTTAACGATTAAAAAAATTATAGGACAAAAACGTTTTTTTTTTCAGAAACGGAAACGGTTAAGTTCAGATGAAAGTCCATTAATTAATTTAAAGAGATCACGCACCCAAACCACAGAACCAGATTCTAATCAGGTAAGTGGAAAAAAAAAATGTTAGTTTATAGATAACTCCTCTAGTATATAAATACATATATATAACTTATAATAAATCAATACGAATTAGTTTGCGAAATGGATATTTGATTTGATTTAAAAAGAGTATTATATGCTAATTTTATCTCTCTGTAGGTACAGACTAATTTTTGAAAATATGGCATGATTGAAATAAAACACTTTAACGTTTTAAATACGCGAAATATATTACTTTAACATTTTTGAAATATTTTTTTTTGGTGTGTATTTTATTGCATGATTCTTCGCGTGCTACGACTTACGGGCATTATTATTATTATTTTCTATCGGGGACACCCTTGGCAGGACGGGATCAGCCCATGTTATCCGCTGACCATTTCACCCATTTCCTCCTTGCAGAGGTTTTGGGTCATCCAACTCTTCCCGTGTCCCCTTCAAACCTTCCGGTTTGCTTGCAGAATCTTATTAGTCCGCTGGCATAGTTTATTCTAATTCCAAATTAAATTGTTACGTTTTTAAGCAACAGTTATTTTTCTAATATGATTACAACAAATATTTTTCACTTACGGTATTTGTGAGTTTTTAATATTGTTTTTATATACAATTTCAGACCACCACCTTCAAACAAGAACCAATCCAGCCACATGAAACCGTTTGTGGTATTTGTGATGAAAGTATCGACGATTCAGTTTGGTTTGAACATATCTCTACAAAACATAGTTATTTGGCGTGGAAAAAAGGCGACATTCCATTGGTAGGGTATAAATTCCAATGAAAAATATAACAAATATATTTTTAATTTTAATCTCTTTCAACTGAATTGAACTCATTCAACTAAGCTACTGTATTTTCTCCCCTTGACCGCTTCTGTAGCCAAATAAAACATGTTGCCTAGCATTGTATTAAGCGTGAGAGGGCCTGGGTTCGAACCTCAGGGGTAATAATAAATTGTTTCGGTCAAGCGGGGCACAGACGTCTGATCAACTTGTGGCCTGTAAAGAAACCGATCAGATCGTATTTTTATAATTTAAGTAGTTTTTTTAATTTATTTTAGTAGTTTATACACCTTAATTCATTTATTTTCTTTTCAGGACTTTTCCAGTGATTCCGTAGTAAAGGAGCACCTCACGAAGATGTTGAATATGTTTGGTGTCTTAGTTTGTGGGAGGTGTGGCTTAGCTCAGAAAAATATACGTAAATATCTATACCACGTCAACGCGTGCGACGCTGAGCCGGTAACTAAACAAATTAAAAAGTGTAGGTCATATAGCTCCAAAAAAGTATCCATAGTTTAGACTGGAAACCATAATTAAGTACCAAAACTATAAAATAACTAAATATTCATGAAACTAAAATATAGTAAGTGGTTTAATTAAAGCTATGTTGAAACTTCTACATCATTAGTCACGGGTATCCAAAAGCTCCTGAGACGTCGGATCTCTTAAATTAAAAACCTTTTATGGTATATTATAGATAATGAGAGTTAAGAAAACTATAAAAAACACATCATGCATTCTACCTTCACGGTGTGTGGAAATGAGACTACCCTAAAAGTGTTACAAAAAAGGGTGCAAGAAAAGAAACTACTTGGAGTAGTAACTCCACTACTCCAAGTCGTACTACTACTGTAGTAGTGTAAACAATTTCGTGATTTTTTTAATTTGTAAACGATTTTTAATAAATTAATTTCTTTATTTTACGCGAGTAGTACACATTTAAATAAAAGCCGTGTCTCCCCGTGTTAACTAATATATCGCTTTTAAAGTGTTTTTTTTGTGTCTTTCTCATACGACACTCAATTTCTAATAATCCTAATATCTTAATTACAACGCGTAATAGCGGTGTTTAAATGTAGATAAAAAATATATGTGCAGGTGAACAGTAAACAAATTTTTAAATTCCAAGTACAAGTAAATGAAGTATTTTAGCGTTATTAAAAACTTTATTGGCAATGTAATATTTTATTTAAGGGTTCAGTTGTGTTGTTTCTTCCGAACAGCGAACTTGGTGCTGTGTCGAAATGTTCTGTGTGCAAAGAAGAGGTTACGGATTGGTTTGGTCATATCGGCAAAATGCATAACTATCTAGCGTGGAAGGACGGGGAGACCCCAGTGGTACGTGAACTCATCGGCTTATACGTTATGTGCTAATTTTGGCTTATTATATAAAAATACTATATTTTGATAGTAGGAATGAATATTAAAATTTTTAGACGTTGAAATAACTGTATCCCGAATCAAAATCCCCTAAAAACTTTGCCATTGCCATATGGCAATCAGAACTTGATTTCCTGTTTTTAGCATAAATATTGTCATATATATGACAATATTTATTAATAAAGATAGAAATTTTGAATGAAATAAATATATTGTTTTGTAGGATCTCAGCAATAAACTGGCCGTGTGTCAATATCTTGGCGTGATTTCTGAACAAAACAGAGGATTGGTTTGCTCGAAGTGTGGTTGCCGTCGTAAATATGTCAAAGCATATCTTCATCATATACTTCACTGCGATGGCGAACAGGTAAATACTATAACATGTTTTTAAAAATTTAAAATATCGCGTCGTAACAAACTTTTCGTCTCCTTACCAAACTATATACGAATATATAGCGTACTCGTTTTATGTTTGGTTTCACAAAAAAAGTTTGGCGCCCACTCAACAATGTTTCCTTATTCAGCGTAGAGAATGTGCGAAAGAGACAACATCTATTAAATAACTCATCTTAGTGAACACAGTAAGAATATACAGTCGTATTTAATTTCAGAATATGTCAATGGAGACAAGCATAAATAATTCGATGACTTCAGTTAAGTGTGGCGTTTGTAATGTGGAGGTGACAGAAGATATGTGGATTGATCACATTCAGAGTAAACACAACTACATGGCGTGGAGACACGGAGAAACGCCTCTGGTGAGACTTTATTATAATAACATGGCCAGCAGTAAAACTTCTGTATGTGTTTTAACATTAAATTAGCAACTAAGTTTAAAGTGCTGCGAGGTCCTTCTAAAATATTTCTTAGTGATACACTTTTATATGTATATTTGTTTGACTCAATTATGATTAATAATAAAAAAGTATATAGTCGAATTATTTTTACTTTAGAATTCAAGCTTTATTTATCTTGATTACATTACGCATACGATATACGCATTAACTTTTTAATTTATGGATTTAAAATTAAATATTTAAAATTAAAAGGTGTGTAGAGTTGAGAGTTGACATCCTTTTTCATTTAACTTCTAGGATGTAAACGATAAAGAAGCTGTACATACTCATTTGTATAATATATCCAAACAAATAAACGGATTGGTTTGCTCGAAATGTGGCTGTCGTCGTAAATATGTGAAAGCTTTCCTCCATCACATAGACCACTGCGATGACGACGAGCAGGTATTAATATACATTTTTAATCTGTCTGCAATTCTTTGGTGTGTTCTACTTCAGTAGTTATAATAATATCTTTTTATTATACTGTCATGCTATTTTGTGACTATTTAAGCATTTAGATTCTACTCAATTTTTGTACGGAAAGGTGCGAAAGAGACGACACTCTATTAACTTGTCTTAGTGATATTGTGTTTGGTTTCAGAATACATCTGTAGAGACTAGCATAAGAGAGACTAGCATACCTAATTCTATACCTCCAGTGATTTGTGGAGTCTGTAATGTGGAGGTGATAGAAGACATGTGGATGGATCACGTCCAGCGTGAGCACAACTACCTGGCTTGGGTACATGGGGAAACGCCGTTGGTAAGACTTGTTTTTTTTAATAGATTAATGGCTAAATGTTAAGTCAAGAATCTTGTTACTGGATTTCTTTCAGAAATTAATTGTCGATATTTTAATTTATATTTAAGGCTTTACTTGTCTCTATTGAACATAGATAGCCGTCGACTTATTTACATAGACATTTTCCAAAGTTTTATGAGTCAAATGGGACATATTTTATTTACATATTTCCAATAAATATACCTTCTAGGATCTGAACGATACGGAAGCTGTACATAACCATTTGTATAATATATCCAAAAGAATAAATGGCTTAATCTGTCCGAAATGTGGATGTATGCGCAAATACGTCAAGTTATATTTGAAACATATAAGCCAGTGCACGGGCGATGTTGGTAATTCCAGTATTGAAATGACGCCGAATACACGAAGACACCATAGAAGGCACTCAGTGACTGCGTTGGTAAGTTAAAGATTTTTTTTTTTATATTCTAGAGGACCGAATGTACAATACTTATTGCTTTGTCATTCATATATGAGGCTGTTAGAGGCAAAAAAAATGATGTGATTTCTAATAAGGAGGGAAATAAAAATGCCCAATTACGTAGGCGAAAATGAATTTGTACTAAAGAATTACGTGACCAATTTTCGGTCCCCGTGCTCTTGTAGATTTCTTGTAACTTTTTTATACTATGACAATATGAATTACCCAAGTGACAAAATTGCAGTTAGGCTACTCTGCCTCTAGCAGCCTCATATTTAGTCTAAATGTGTATTTTTGAGAAAATGTAAGACTTCTGAAAAGAGAAAAATTATGATGTTTAATAAAATTAAATGAAACGTATGTAATGAAACATTGATTGTTGTTACCTAAAATCATATAATTTTTTTTATTTATCTTTTCTAGGAAGATACACCCAATAAAACTGTTGATATTCCAGTTGCTTTAATCAAATGCGGTGTTTGCGAAGCGGAGATTGAAGACAGTGAGTGGATAACCCATATCCAGCAAGAACATGATTACTTGGCGTGGAAACAAGGAGACACGCCTTTAGTAAGTATTGCACGGCGATATTTTATTACGAAAAAAGTAGTTGATCAAATGTGATTTTATTCTTCGTGTTTAATTAACAAAATCGAATAGAAATGACTCACTAATATTTTAATTGGCTAATACAACGTCGAATTGTAACGTGAGATGTCAGTTGTCTGAAAATCTGTATTTTAAAAGTGTGGTAGGAATATTGATTTTCCGTCCAGGTCACGAACCACCGTCCGCAGATGGAAAAGCCGTCAAGTTTAATCGCGTTACGGTTTCAGTCTGTGGATTTCGGAATCTAAAGTCAAAAGAGCTCCACAGTAGTTTTGATGTTATAGACTGGAGAATTTCACCTACCATCAAGTGACCCTACCATGTTTGTCTGTCCTACTCAATCATAAAAAAATATAATAAAAATCTTGATTGATTATCACTCCCAATATTATCATTATAACATTATGTACAAAAGCATTTTCGATAAAATTAATTCCAATTAAATTATTTTGACACAGTTTGACATTACATGTTCTTAATATTCATTGCTAATTTTAGGACATCAAAAACAAGGAAGCTTTGTATACACACTTGTACAATATTTCTAAGCAAAACAATGGCCTGATTTGCTCTAAATGTGGAATTTGCAGAATATATGTGAAATCTTATTTGCATCACATTAAGAGCTGTAAGGAAAACTATGCGGCTGTGAGTATAATATCAAAGACGTTTTTTTATTTAACTTACATAATTCTTATTAAGATTATTTGAACCCGGTAATAAAAGTCAAGATAGACAATTTAAAATCCCCCATTAACAATGGTTTCTCTTGATATTAATAAGTTAATTTCGTTTCTACAGGATTTCACTAATGATTCCATTGCAAATAGTACTACAGCAAGTGTGGATTTGAGTATGGATTCAGAAATTGTAAACACTCCGGTGAAGTGTGGCGTGTGTAAGAAAACGATAGAAAACCGAAGTTGGATCGATCACATCGCTGCTGATCACAATTATCTCGCTTGGACAGAAGATGACAAGCCACTAGTAAGAATTTTGCTGTTACATTAAATTTTTATTTACTTTTAATCTTTGTTCATCAAAGCGAGTTGAAACCTTCGAAACTGACACAATTAATGTTTTTTAATTTATTGTGTATATAACTCCTTTATTCAAGCTATAATCTTTGGAACTCTCTGTCTATTGATATCAAAAAGCTTAATCTTAGTACATGAGGTACGTACATATTACCTTTACAATTTTTTACATGATATTCCCTAGCACCAGCTACCTATAGTCCTTTTTTGGTTTTTCTTCACATCTTCTTGACTGGTCACTTATTTATAACCTAGATCATAAGTATTATACTTCTAACCAATTATGTGGTCTTTATAATTAATAGAGTTAAATAAATAAAAATAAGCTCTATGGATTATGTCATGGCCTTGTTCTCAGCATTTTGAGAAAGAGAACGCTGTATTAACTCCTTTCTGTGAAAGAGACTGCCGTATAATACTGCTAACCCATAACGTGGGACATGACCCAGACACAATAATGAGTCTGATAGTAGATTATTATCAAACTTCTGTCTCCGCCTATTGCTCCTAAGCCACAGAAGCGGTTAATACGTCACTGAAGAAATGAACCTTTTACATACTAAGTACGTTACTACACAATTTGCAGGACCTAAATGACGAAGAAGCATTAAGACTGCACTTATACGATATTATACAGAAACATGGCCCTCTGACTTGCAACATTTGTGGTCTGTGTCGTAAATATGCGAAGTCGTTCCTTAGTCACATCGCCTCTTGTTCTGCGGTGAGTAATATCTTAAAATTAATTGTTTACTTTTCCTGAAATATGCTTGGAATGTTCATATGTTCAGAAAATTCTGTCTAAATCGATATTTCAGGCTGTAAAGGTTTCAGTTTTTGTTCTTATGCATGTCCAAAATAACTCTCGTGTATCTTGTGTATGTATACATATGCACTATATGCAACTTGTATAAACGGCTGGTTGGGATGTTTCACCTTCTATCAAGTGCATGCTTGTCTGTCTTCTTTTATCACGAAAGAGCCTAAGGGTTATGAATGAAGGTTACGAATGATTTTATTTCTTTTATTTTTAGGAACAAAGTACAACGGAGCAAGAAGATGTTGATATAAAATGTGGCGTTTGTAATGCAGAACTAAAGTCGTCAGGTTGGGAGAACCATATAATGCGAGTACATAAATACGTTGCGTGGATAGAGGGACAAACACCTATAGTGAGTTACTCTTCTTACCACTTGTCTAATATTCTCTCTCTTCTATTCTCTTTTGGGAATGGATGTGTTATATAAAGCTAGCGTTAATGTACTCGGACAATAATATCATCAAATAATTATAATCTCATGAGGTTTTATATGTTTTAACTTACTTTTTCTTATTTACATTTGAGCGAAAGCTATTTTTTATACAATAAGGTTTTATGTATATAAAGATATATAAATAATTAAGTCGTCTTTTTAATTTTATTTTAAAATCGCAGGATGCTACAAACGAAGAGGCCGTGCACGATCATTTGTATGCATTGTCAAAAAAATTTAACGGTCTGAGGTGTAGTAGATGCGGAGTGATAAAAAAATACGTCAAATCCTATAATGCCCATGTCGAGAGTTGCAATGCTGAACTTCAAAATTATTGCGAAGGAGATGGAGGTGCGTATTTCTATTGTTTACGCTTTTTCTTCTCTTTTGTTGTATATTATCAATGCCCTACAAACTTCGTTTATGTTCGAAAAAAATATAAAATTAGAAGTGGGATGGTTTAAATTATTTCTAAGGCCTTCCAGGCTACCCGATGAAATATTTTTTTTTTGTTAAAACAGTTTCAGATTTATACGAATGTGCTCTATGTCATGAAAAGGGTCCTATGAATGACTTTAAAAATCACGCAATGGACCAACACTATAATGTTGCTTGGATGGTTGGAACTGTGCCTATCGTAAGCATTCTTTTACCGAACCTAAAATCTTTATTAAACAGCGTTAAGCGTATTATCTCGCCAATTACAATGCTAATTCCTTTATAATATCTCTTAATAAAGGTAAGCAATATTATATATTTTCCAGGACGTAAAAAATATAACATCAATCGAAAGATTTTTGAAAGATTACAAGAAAAAGTATAAAAAACTCGAGTGTAAGAATTGCGGATTGATTAGGGCGTCACTTGCCGGATTCTTTGCGCACGTTATACAATGCGGACACAGCGAAGAGGTTAGTGAAAAAAATTACTTAACCCTTCTTCCCTCCTACACACACACACACACACGCACAAAAGATGTAGACTTACCTAACTTGTTTATAGAATAATATGATAGTAAAGTAATACCTCATAATGGAAAACAAAAGACAAGACTATTTTTAATGTGTGTTTTTGTTGTAGGAAACCGAGATTTACAAGTCCCTGTGTGAAATTTGCAATAATAAATATGTGGGCGTGTATAAATATTCACATATGATCACACACCGCGTGCAAGAAGAAAGCAAACTAAAGAAATTGAAAGCCGAAGAACCTACTGAAGTCAAAGAAGAAGACCGAAGCAGTGTGCGAAAAGCGGCTAAAAAGTAAGTTTTTAGCCTATAGGATATAATACACCATAAGTATAAAAATTCATAATTAGATGGACAAAAAACTTTTTATCCATTACAAATTTATCTCATGGGCCAACTTTCCTTTGCATAGGCCAAGTCTTACTCTGGACATCAAAATGCTCATTTCAAATACATATAATATTTGTTTGTCGAATGCGTGTAAAAAGTATTTGTTAAAATATTCTATTTAAATAAAACACTTTAACGGTTTAAAACGCGATATATATTAGTTAAACTTATTTGAAAATTATTTTTAACCGAAGCTTCGGCGTGTCTCCCCATGACCGCGGCTGCTACAAAGCATCTGAATGTGTACTACTCGCGTAAACCACAGACAGTATTTAAAACATTCTATTGTTTACTTCCAGAGCTCAAAAAGTCATCAAGAAATTTACAACAGAGGTAACCTTTATAACAGATTTCTACATTTAATCTTGTATTATTATTGTAGCAATTAAAACTTTTCTTTTATTTAGATGCCCAACGATGGTTTAAAGAGCGACGACGAAGGCGAATACAGTCCAGTGGATGGTAGCAGTAGCAGTAGTGATTCCGAAATACACGCTGAGATAGAGCCGAGTTCCGATAACGCGTCTCCGGAATCAGAGCCAAATGTTTCTGACGACGAAGAGAAGACTTCCAAGCCAAAGAAGAGTGCAGAGACGAGTAAGTTATTGCTGGATTGCAAAAAAGAAGGAAAAAAATATTTTCGCCTCAATTAACTGTGGATTTCTATTTTTTCCAGTATTCATGACTACAAATCTAAAAAGGATACCATTTTCCGTAAGGGACCCGGCGTCGTACATTGCTAATAGTTTTAGAGATTTGTAAGTATGCCCTTACTTTACTTCAATCCTAGCATTCGGAGGCAATCAGGCTTAAAATATAAAATCACAATTTTTTTTACTAATTTTCCATTGATAATTAGTAAAAAAATTAGATCATATATATTACTAGACATCTCACTATAGCTTTTATAGCAATCTTTTTAAATTTTATACATCAACTGTTGATGGTGGTTGGGCCATGAAAAATAAAATCATTTTTTTAATGTCAGTTCCAGAACTCATTTTACGACAAGTACCTTGTTCCCGCATTGGCTAACATGTGACTATGCATTAGTACCTGACAATGAACTGGTTAAGTACATGCCACCATTAAAGGAATCGTGTAGAGTTGAGTTTGCTTCAAACCCATCTACCACGTATAACTTGTTCGAAGCCAGATTGGATTTTGGTAAGCGTATTTTTAAAATAGTGTTTTCATATAATTTAAGTTTTTAATCTCCTTATTGTGTCGGGAGTTGTGCTTACGCTTTACTCTGACTTAGAATTTCTGAGTTATTTTTTAAATTACTTTGGCTTGGAAGTCATACAAGATTCTCTACATAGAATATACATGCACATATGTATTTAAAGTTATTCATTTCTGTAAATGTGTACACGAGCGAGTATATATATATAATAATATTATACCATACGTGTAAATAAAAAAACCGGCATGGTACAATAATCATATTAATGTTTAGGGACCAGCTTGTTTGTTGGTGCGTGTATACAAAGCGTTGGTTGGGTTCCGTGTCGCTCGGACGAGGAGGAGCAGGCCCGCGCTTATTTGGTCGTCAACTGTCACAATGGTATCGACTCACCGCGAGTACAATCCTCGCAAGTCCTACAACATCCAGGCCTCATACAGATTTGGGATTTTCAAAATATGAATGTGTAAGTACTTAATATTCTCCATTATTTAATTCCCGTATCAAAGTAAGTCCAGCTCCTTAATATGTTGCGCTGTCGGCCTTTTCTGGTATAAGACATTTGAAAATCTACAGACAGAGGGCCAGAGGGTTTTAGTCTGGACGCAATTTTAATATTCCTATAAACTATTTAATGTCCGAAACTTAAACAGTTTAATCAATAATAACGAGCATTAAATAATCCTTGTTATTATATAAGAGAAGACAAACATTTTTGGATATTGAACAAAATGTTTTTTTTTTTGCTATTAGGTTGCCCTCATTTGCATTTGGGTTAGCCCACGACTATGGTACCGTGTGGGGAATGGACTGGTGTCCGTCTGGCGCTTGCGAGCTATTATCTGATGAAACAGAAGGTTTTACAAGAATGGGTTTACTGGCGGTGGCTTGTTCAAATGGATCGGCATATATCTTCTCTGTACCACATCCAGACAGCATCATAAAAGAGTAAGATTTTTTAAATGAACACACATGGGTTTTATTATCTAAATGGACATGGAAATTTCTTACCGCTACATGAAAAGTACTGTCTGTAGTTAACGCGAGTAATAACGCAAATATTCAACTTATTTATAATTTTCTTTGATTACGGCCTGAATAACAATAAATTACATCCAATTAAAAACAGAATTTATTGACTAAACATGATGGTTAATAATCAAACCCACGTTTCATTAATGATTATTCAATGACCCTAGCTCAATAAACTTTGGCGTACAAACGGTGTTTTATGTTTTTCTTTTAGTGACGTGAAGATCTTCAGGTTGAAGCCTGTCGCAGAATTAAAAATGTTCCGAGATGACGATCGTAATTGCCAAGCGACTGCTATTAGTTGGTCACCTGTAAGTAGAGTATACAGTACTTTTGCTAAAATGACACTTCTTACATTCCTTAGAGTAAAAATCACTATATCCCTGCTCGGGGTATGGGGCATTTTTGACCACTCGCGACCTAATAATATACATAATCGAACCCAGGATCTCATAGGCGACGCAATGGCATAGAACTATTTCACATAAGCGACCTTAATACAAAACATTTAAGATTGATATTAAAATCTATACAATTTTCAGCAAAAAGACCATTCGTGTATATTGGTCGGTTATGCCAATGGAATGATGGCAGCTTTTGATCTTAATGGAGATTCGCCTCTCCTAACTGACGTGAAAGAAGGGGTTAAGATATATTATCCGTTCTTTGATGAGCGACCGCACACTGCATGTATTACAGGTTAGTGTTGCCATATTGACTATACTCGATATTATATTTTTTTTAAATATCAATAGTCTCATTATAAAGAGCATTAATAAACAAGACGCATCTAATTTCAAACAATTTTTGTTATAAATGCAATATTTATTATTGCTGTTTAACGCTATGCGGACCAGATACTAGATAATTGTGTCGCCATTTTTTTTATTGAAATTCTATAAGAATAATCTATAGTAGTATGGAAAATAAACAAAAAAAGAAAAGTATATTCACATAAACAAAATAAAGAAAGAGTAGACAATATAGTTAATTTTCTTCTAATTGTGATCACATATTTGTCATAAGAGCACGTTGCGCACGCGCCGAGCGAACCGCATTTAAGAATTATTTGTTCCGTGCGGACCTTTCTTTACGTCTGTCCAATGTGTGAATACCTTTATTCACGTGTCAGATTGGATATCCTTGTTAGTACTTTATAACGATTTTATCTATGTATAGATGTCAAGATATTTTCGAGCGGCAGCAAGGTGACGAGTAATTGGTCCGGGGCTGTGTCCGCGTCATCTGCTTGCGGAGCTTCGGCATCCCTGGGCGGTACCGGATGGCAACGCGCTGGCGAAACTCATTTGCAGCTTACAGCTGAAAAGCTCTTACCCATTCCTCATTGGCCTGCACCGATCCTCGCGGGAAACAGTGATATTAGTATGTTTTATCTAAATTTGTTTATACATAATTAGTTTGTATTCTTTAGTATGCCAGCGTCCAGTCCAGTGTAATTTTTTTTTTCAAATTAAATGCATTTTGCACTTATGTTTCCATATATCTATAATGTAAGTAAAGTATTCCCAAAAAGGGATTACATATTTAGGCTACGTTGACATTATTTCCCCCTAACACACGTAGCTTTTTTAGTTTAACAGTCTTAAATAGTATTTTATTTTCTCTAATATTAAATTAGTTACGCAAGCGATCAACGAGATAGATTGGTGGGGCGCGGGACGGCGGATCGGGTCCATGAGCACCGCTTGTGGATGCTTAGTGTGCTCGCGCGTTGCAGCCTTCTTCCCACCCCTTCTCAAGACCATGTTTGTGAACCCCGTTTTCCATGATAGAAGAGACGTAAGTAAATAACAATATAAAATTGTAAAGCTGAGTCATCCAAGGACATTTTAAAGAAGTTATATAATATCAAACAGACAAAAGACGTGAAAAATACTTATTAAAATCGACTAATGTTATTCGGGACCTCTGGGTCCGTCTCCCCGTGACCACGGCTGCTGCAAAGCATCCGAAACGTCGGGCCGAAGTTAAAAATCATTTCCAAATAAGTTTGTATTTAGGACTGAGACGTAATTCGTCTCAATCTTATTGAAAGAGGTGACAAATTATTTAGTACTTGTTTATGTGTTCAACAGATTAAAGTCAAAGCTCGTATAGATATAATTTCCTTGGAAAAGTCAAAGAATGAACAAGAGACTTCAAAAGCTTCGTCGGAGCCCAGCAATTATGAGGATGCGATAAAGAGATACGGGGTTAAATTCTCGCATTCTTCAAGCCTTAAAAAGGTAAAGTATGTTGTAGAAATCGTTAGGACTAATTTAGTTATCAACATTGCATGTTAAAAAGTTATTATGTTCTCGTGGTTTATTAGAAGACGAAATGTTTCTGTCATATGGAACGGTAGCTGAATTGGTTAGAGCAGCGATGCACAGACTTATTAAGACTAGGGGCCACACGGACAATTGAGCTGATCGCGGGCCGCCAGAAGTGTAGGTAATTAATGACAATAAAGAATTGAAGATAAAATAAAAAACCCAAATATATTAATTTCAGTATTTTATTTGACAGCAAATAAAACCACCATTATTCGACTGGCGCGGCCGCGGTCTGTGCATCTCTGGGTTAGAGCATCAGTAGGGATCATCATCAAATTATTTTTATCGTTCTAAATAGATTTTTATTTTTATAATGCAACATGTGAATAATAAAATAAAAGCTTTCAAACATAATTCTTTTAAATATAGGTTTCTTGTTGTCGTCGGTAGAAAAACTGAAAATTTCAAACGATGAATCCTACTGGCAAATTCAAGCTAATTAATTGGTGCTAAATTGTTTTGTTGTTTCTGGTTGTAGAACGACCTCTCACTTCAAATGAACAAGCCGAAGCCACGGAACGTCGAGCGCTACCCTCTAGCAGATGTTACCTCTATGTCCTTCTGCTCTTTACCCAAGTATCATAGGAAACTCGCAATTGCCATACACAGTGGTATGATCTTTGTTATCAACGCCTGATTAATACTATGTCTAGTTATTTATGCAGAGCTTCTTTTTTACAAATATAAACGCGGAGCTTAAAAGAAAGAGACAGGAAATATAAATTAATGTTTTTTATATCAATTGGTTATTTGCTTCTCTGTGGTTAGATGTTCGTTATTCCAAAGAAAATTAAACTACTAAGGCTTACTGACTTAAAGGCTTACTGTTCTAAAGTATACAAAGAAAATAGTAACCAATTCACTATCATGTATGAAGTAGGAGAAAGTAATGAAGTAATATTTTTTATAATATGCATTATATTATTTCTTAGTAATATTTTCCTATATGTTAAATATAACAGGTAAGTTTTATGGAAATAATGTTTGTCATGTGTTGAGCGATGTACCTAATCGTATTTTTAACATTGAGTACTCGTAATTTATGAGTATTCTTTTAAATACATAATTAAATTTGGATCACCAATTAACCACATTTTGAAGTCATAAACTGGTCGGTCTTACACGATTTCAATATTATATTATGGTACCATCGGAATGTTAGTAATGTAAATATCATTGTTTTATAAACACGAGAATAACGCGGTCACAAAACAGAAGACATGGTATAGTAAAATAAAATCATTCATGATTTTTATCGTAAATATGTTATCAAACTACCTAACATAAGATAGATCTAAGTAAGTTGTCAAGCATTTGGTCGTCGTAATCGAGAAACGGTTCTCAACATTTCGCCGTCCAGAAGCTAAGTTGCTTTTCAAAATGTGTTCCGACAGCTCGCGTTAGGTTTAAAGCATAGTAATATTATTGAGAGCATATAAATAAATAAATATTCATTATACTTAAAACATTAGAAATGCGTTGTACGGCCATAAATTGTAACAGTAAATAGACCCTTTGTTTTGTATCCACTTTAGAAAGGTACAATTTATTGACTGCGTTATTGGATAAGTTAGTTAGTTTAAGGTTGACAAACGTAAGAAATCGTCAGATTGTTTAAGTATTTGCTCTGAAAACAATAAATTTTGTTTCCATGAATCCGACCCCACGCTACACTCAATACCTGCAACCCATTCTCTCTCTTTGACTGGAATATGTACCATAAAAGAGGGCTCTGGGAGCAGGCCAAACTGTTCACTTCTAAATCGACACGGCACGCATCGCGAGTATTTGCCCATAGACGCCGCTCCTTCAGGTTCCTGCAAATACTCGATTTATGAAAATTAACCGGCCGTTTAGACTTTTCGTTTCCATACTTTGTGGACGATAAGGCGCGTGAGTAGGTGGCAATGATTCGTGGCATAGCGAATATTCATAGGGCTATGGTAGTTTTATCCAAACATCAAAACCGGTTAAAAGTTTGTACGCATATACTGGCTGCGAAAGCCTTATACAATCTACGTAATAAACATTTTGTTATTATTCTCTATACCGGAAGATTGGGTATTTTTCTAAATGATGTTTTATTCTTTTATTGGGTAAACATTTTAAAAGTATGTACCATTTTAAATGTGATACACTTGTAAGAGTTTTATTACGATCCCTTTTTATAAAGGCCAAATTCTGAAAGGTCATAAGCTTGTTATCAATATCAAGAAATCTATGTAATGTACAAAATATCGCATGTTACTATTTTATGCAAATGCCTACTTTGCGAGTAAACAGGTCATTGACTTAAGACCTCTGTTTCGGGCAAATGAAACTAAACGACATAGGCCAATAAACGAAGATTAAACCAATTGTTTTAGCTTTTATGTTAATTTGTAAATTTATACATATTATTTGTTATATTAGTAATTTTTGTATATATTATGTAGTATGAAAAATACATGAATTGTATACTATCTCTTTGCCAAGTTACAGTGAAACTCGTAACTTGGAATAATGCCAATTTTATCTTATTCTAAAGTACGTGTGTACTAGGTACTGCATTCGAAGTGTTTAGAAATGGAGAGTGAAGCTACAATTGTATTAAATTATTGAACTGCCACTCATTTTGTAGGAATATACATTACGAGTAAGACCTAACTAGTACATTTATTTTCAGTGTTTCACTGAGATATATATTGAAATTTGTATAAAATATAATGAAATCAATTATAGAAATAATTATGTGGCGATTAGGATGTAGACGTGACGAACACATGTTTAACGGTTATTTATTGTAGTAAGGTAATTGTAAAGAACCCATATATCGGATTTTCAGTGATATTATTATAAATGAATGTATAAGTGAATAAGAACATAATTGATTATGCTTGTTGCCTAATAAAGTTGTAATGAAATAATTGATGTTTTTCTTGTCACTCTTTTGTTAGATCTAGAATAGATTCTATGTATGTTAAAGCAGACTGAGCTTAAAAATATTTTGCTGCAGATTAAACAATTTTAAATTTTGCTTAAAGTATTTACATAAAACACTTAACGGCTTAAAAGGCGAAATACATAAGAAAATGTTAATTTATTTTAACTACGACCTATACTACAATTTTAAGGTCTCCCTTTACAACTCTATTCGTCCTAAACTGATTATTCTGGTGCGTTTTTTAATGTTGCGAGCATATTTACACATTTACCCTTTTAAAATATAATGATAATTATATTCTTTTGCCGCCACCATTGCTCAATCGTGCGTTACCTAGCATTTGGCTTAGAAAGATTGGAGTTCGGATGCCGGGGAAACTTTACGCCACAAAAGTCTGACCCACATTCAAATAAGATCTGTAAAACAACATATTAAATGTAATTAACTTCTGGGTAAACGATATATAATACAAGAATACGTTTTTAATACCTACTGTGCGGTAATGTGCTTTTATGTGCTCTAAAATTCAAGTCTAAACGGATTCATTGATTAACTTAATACAATTATAATACTTAAAATAATTCACCTGACAATCGTCTATTTTTCTCACACTTTTGTTATTTAAAAGCACTTTAGATTTGATGCGTAAACGCAACATAAAATTCGTTATTACTTCCCTCCTGTTTTAATTGGCTGAAACATTTTTTTATTAATACTGCATTGAAATTTGTTTTGGTACAAGCTTGCGTATTGTGGATGGACAAGTCTCGGAGACTTGAGAGTGGACTGCGGCAGTAATATTCATACCGCGCTCCGAAGCGAACGTGTTTTCTGGTTTTTAACATTTACTCGTGAATTCACTGTATCGTGTATTTCTTTAGTGATTTTCAACTCTAAGTTAAGGCAAAAATTTTAATTAGAAGTATTAATTAAATTATGTGTATTGGTTTTCTTAAAGCTTAAGTAATTGATTTCAAAGTGTTTTCAAAATGATGATGGCTAGTGCGAAAATGGTACGGGACTGTTCTGAGCTGAGTTCAGATATAAGATCGCTTTCAGTAGAGTCCTCTGCTGAGGAACAAGAGTCCACTACAACGGAATCAGAATATTCGGAAGAGGAGAAGGAGTATGAACTGGATGATCTTCAAATTCTCAAAACTATCGGTAAGTTGATAATTTTTTAAAGTATGTAGTTTTATTATTAATAATAATAACTAATTTTTAAATAAAACACTTCAACGGTTTAAAACGCGTTATATATTAGATAAAAAATCCAATAAATCGATAAAATAATTTTTATATAAGTTTAACTAATATATCACGTTTGAAACCATTAAAGTGTTTTATTTAAATGTGTAGTACTCGCGTAAACTACACACAGTATTTAATTAGTAATTTTATTTTCTCGGCACTTGTTACATAAATTAGTATTAGGTAAATAAAGAATCTATTTAGATCGAAACATTATGACGACACGGGCGAGACTTGAATCGGCATCGACAGCGGTCCGTGCTGTTGCGCAAACCAATTGAGTTAACGTGTCCTGCCCGTTATCGTCGAATTTCTTCAAGTTTATTCTGTATTAGGTTTTAAAGATAAAAGGACCGCCTCCGTACTTTAAGCACGAGAGGTCTAGGAATTGAATTCCGGGGAAATTGTACTTTGTTCGGTTGGCCAGGGCACAGAAGTAGTTTTCTCATAGTATAGTCCCAACTTGTACAATATAAGTGTGTGTTATTTGGAGAAATAGGAGAGTAAAGATGCAAAAGTGATATATAAGTTAACGATATTAAATTGCTATAGCCAAGTAGATAGAGACTATGTATAAAATATAAATGTAATTTTTTTTTATATTTCATAATAAATATATCGTAGTATCGAGTTTTTAATCTAGCATTATGTAACTAAATTTTTTATATTATTACATAACTCCACCTGACTTATAGCTTGTTGTTTTCGATCACTATCTATCTCTATATATAATAAATTATGATTGTTTTCCCTCATGTTTTCCATTGCAAAAATAATCTGTCATAATACAGATAATGTTTTCGTGTCAACAATAATATGATCTCGCCTTGATCTACATTTTCACTATGATAATGTGTTATGGTAGAACCGACCCCTATTTAACCCAATTCTGTGATATCGGCTAAGGACATAGATATCACTAAAAATGACAGACAGTACAACCGAATTTTATGTACTGATTAGAAGTAGAAAATTATCTCGATAATAATGATCTTCAAAAAGTAGGAACTGAAACTACCTATATCACATTCTTATGATAACTTCTGTATCTTTTTTTCGATAAAAACGGAAAGCCTTGGAAATGACAAAAATTTCAAGGAAACTTTACCATTGTACAGACACATTGCGATTCCGATATTATTTATTAGTTAGTTTTTATTATTTGTTCTAATTCTAAATACCAATGCATTTATTTGTAATTATTTATACCTATATTTTGTGACTCAAACGGTAGTCGATTTTAAATGTGTTTTTTATTTGGGACATCCTCCAAGGCCAACACATAATAAAACCCCTTAAAACATACATAATGAAGTATTTGCAGGACTTCAAGTTTTTATATAAACCTCATCATCTTCGGACGTCTATTTGTAATAAAGAAATCGACATGCATGCATGGGTATTCAAAAACAAAGCATTTTCTACCATTGCCGTCGGGCTAAAACACGGTCGCTATAAACATGTTTATTTGTTTGTGACTGTTTACTTTCATTCGATAAGTCTTTTGTATTTACGTCTTGCAAACAAGCAAACAAAAATTATGGTTTTACCATCTTTTTCTTCGTAAGCTTTCTTTTAAACATAAGAAGGTAGAAAGACAAATCTTATCAATTAAAATACTTTTTTAAATTTAGAAGTGATTTTAAAAATAACCTTAAATCGATTACTTAAAGTAACTAAACATCTTTAAATAAAACATTAAGGTTTAAAACGCGATATATTAGTTAAACTTATTTGAAAATGATTTTTAACTTCGGCCCGACGTTTCGGATGCTTTGCAGCAGCCGTGGTCACGCAGACTGCTCACCTGCTGACCATCCGAAACGTCGGGCCGAAGTTAAAAATCATTTTCAAATAAGTTTAACTTATATATCGCGTTTTAAACCGTTAAAGTGTTTTATTTAAATGTGTACTACTCGCGTAAACTATAGACAGTATTTAACTAAACATCTTTTTTTAATATTTTGTGATTGCTTACAAAACAGTAACATCGCTCTTTGTTCGAACTTCTCTATTAATAAAAATAATAATACATATATTTTATAATTATTTGTTTAATATATATATACTACTCTTCTTACCGAATAAAATATGAAATATAATTTCTCAAATTTAATTTTACTTTCTTAATTTTTTTCCACTGCTTTAATGTTAAGAAAGATTTAAAAATTAAAAATCACTTTAAACGAATTGAAACGGGAAAATAGTTCTACTCGCGTGTCTCGCTCTATAGCTACAGACACTTTGTGAACACCTTGACTACGTCTTTTTGAATTTCAAAATGAAACAGAGCACAAAACGTCTCGATGGCAGACGCATCTGGTTTAACTATTATCCTCTCGTTGCTCCAGTTACACCACTAACGAGCTCTGCACATATTTACGACATTTGAAATAAGCGCGCACTAATTTCTAAACAGTCCAAGTTTTGGGTATTAAATATTAACTGGCTATTTGCATACGAATTCCGTTCTCCTAGAATACCTTAACGTTAAATCAATCGGTTGGATTACAAACATTTCAATCTTTTTCTGTATGATGGATCTTCATTATAATGTATAGAGTTTGAGGTAACGTAATACGATATATATATATAATTCTTTTAGATTTTTCATGCGCGGAAATCCACAGCAAAAACGAAAAGTGAATTTTCACTTTACTCTTTTTTATTATTCTGCCTTCTCATATTTTTGTTACGTTATAAATTCCTGGTTTACACCCGATGTGGATGATTTTTTGTATTTGTGGTGTTTTCAAAATGGATGTTTTTAACTACAAAATTAGATTATAAAATAATTTGTATTTAACTAAATCACATGCGTATGTGAATGCGATACTTCGCGATTTATTTATTATATTAATTTTAGTTTACTGTTTGAAGTCGAAGAATAGTTAAAAACTATTTTATTTAATATCTTTGCTTCCTACATCTATCATAGCATACGTTAACATTATATTTTAATTAGCTATTCAACTATTTTATATCCCATGACACTCCATGCGGTAAAAAGTTCGTCGAAATGACTAACTCGTGCCACAATAATATTTTATGAGTAATTAACTAGCGTTTAAATTAGAAGTATCATTCTAATTGCACATTCCATTATGCCGCGTACAGTATAATATCTACGTAAAAATTGTTAAACAGCAGTTTACACGCAAACGAGCCATTTTAGCTTCTATGTAAATAGTAACCGTCACGCTTGATTCTAGGTATATGTAGGTTAAGTCGTTTAAATTTTTTTATGAGTTTTCGTAAAGCAGATCGTCTATGACTGATCATACTAATTATCCAGAAGGAATCCCCTCTTGTTCGTGCTATGCGTGTTATCAAGCTGCAGAGGGGATCGACATTTTCAAATCACTCTATGGAATATGTATGTATTTATCACAATGGATATTTATTGTTCTGCAATGGTAGAATATGTTTATAATAAAATAAAGTCTCTTCGCGAATAAATCCAGTCATTAAGTAGTTTGTAGTTTACGATTAGTACACACCAATAACCATTATAGTAACAAATTTTTAACAATCACCTAACGTAGACTCACGTACGTACTGTCGCATCCGAAAGGTGAGGTTGAGTACAAAAACAATTTTTTTTCTCATTTTAAACCGTAAAGTATTTCATGAAATGTGTACTTCAGGAAATCTATTATTTTTTATTCATTAATGATTATAAGCGTTTTTTTGCTCCTTGTCAATCATCGCTTTTATTAAATCATTTTATTAAGTGTCGGTAAGTTGTTAAACTAATGAATAATGTATCAATACAATTAATTAATCAGTTTACAGATGTCCTGGTAGATTATCTAAGTATATTTTTACATTATATTTATAAAATATCTTTTATAACTAAACTTAAAATTGTAACATCTTCGTAGCTTAGACTATTTAAATAAAACACTTTAACGGTTTAAAACGCGATATATTATCGAACTTTGTTTGCATTAATATATCGCGTTTTAAACCGTTAAAGTGTTTTATTTAAAAGTGTACTACTCGCGTAAACTATAGACAGTATTTGGCTTAGACTATGTTAAATCTTCTGTGATTTGAATTGTCTATCACTTTTATCAAAGTGCACTCTTATTATGCAAAGAGGTCAAACTGATTTAAGTTACCATTGTTACTGGATTTGTAGATACAGTAATTCTCACACTAAGTAGTGGAAAAGTAAAGAAAGTGTTGAACAATGCAAATCATAGTTTATACGAGTAGCCCACGTCCATAACGATTGCAGATATTAATTGCTTCATAAGTAGTTCAGAGGAATTAAATTATTGTTCAGTTGTAATCTATATTAATATATAAAGCTGAAGAGTTTGTTGGTTTGTTTGAACGCGCTAAACTCAGGAACTACGGGCTCAAATTGAAAAATTGTTTTTTTTGTGTAGGTTAGAGTATTTATCGAGGAAGGCTATAGGCTATAATACATCGCGCTGTTACTAATAAAAGCGAAGATACAGCGGAAAATGTGAACAAAACGTGGGAAACTTGTCATCTCTGTGGGCTTCGAGTACGCTGCGTAACTCAAGATACCTAAAAATTTGCTTGTAAAAATGATTCTTCTTTCAATGATCTAAAATTAAAGCGGTATATGTCTATCTTTTAAATTACCTTGAACGACGGGAAGGGACGCGATCGATGTCGTGGCTAACAGTTAAGTTTATAAAGATGACGGGTTTCCAAAAACTAATTTGATTCCCAAAATAACGATTCTCGCGGACGAAGTCGCTGGAAACAGCTAGTGATAAATAAATAAACGGGTGAATAGTGAAATACCAGTCATCAGACGTCACTCTCTTCGTCTTAGATTACGTCTTCAAAAGTAATACAAATGTTTCATCAAAGTTTTTTTGCTTTGAATATTGAGGTGAATTATTACCATTTAATTAACCAAAAGTGTCTAA